AATACAATACAATAAAGACATTATAAAATCTATGTTGAATGGATAATTATTTGTTATCAATAAAACAAAAAGTAAGAGAAATATTATAAAATATAAGAATATAGGATATAATTTAAGCATTATGAATTATGAAGATTAGTTATACATTTCATAAAAAAAACCTTCAATATAATTTTCGTGAAAATAAATATTTATTAACATCTGACCTTTAATATTTTGGAATTGAAGAACAGCATTTGAGTAGGGTGGACGAAAAATGTTGACTTTGAATAGTCTCAACACATGACACCATACACAAACAGCATTTGTATTGGTTGTCTTCAGTAAAAGAGCCTTTGCTATAGCACTGGACTCAATGTTAATATGATCAATATTTTTCCAATACTTCCTAAAACAAACAAAAATAAGAATTAGTAATGTGCTTAATACAGTTTTCATTATGTACAACCTTTATAAATTCTTATATTGAGAAACGCCATTTGAACAATATGTAGGAAAATAAAAGTGTGTTTTGTGAAAGCTAATTTTAGACATTGAATATTCATAAACAAATGTCTTCGAACACACACCCTATTGATTTTGGTTGTCTTTAGATAAGGATACAGCAAGATAGGATCAAACTTGGTGCAAAGATGACAAATACTTGGCCAATGCGTCCTGAAATCGATTTACACTTGAATTACTATTATAAGATATTCAATATTAAAAGCCATTTATTTACTAAAAAAGGTGTTATATAAAAAACAAACATAATATTTTAAAGTTTTTATGAAACATTAATATAATGAATATGTCAGTCTTATAATAAAAATGATAAAAAGAACATAGTATTTTGCAATACATGATAATTATTCCTTAACTTTTATGGGAATATTATAATTTGGGCTTGCAAAACTAAACATATTAAGTTTCTAAAAGATAAGAATTCTACATTGGTAGAATGATTGTGATATTTGTGTTGATTTAAAACACATAGAAATGCGACCTGTGTGACAAGTCATAGAACAGTGATAATTATTTACATATTACTTCTCACAAAAACCGCATTCATATAGTTTATCTTCAGAATGGTATGCGCCTTGAGAGAGGCAGATGTTCTACAAACAGCAAACATGTGTATCATCTTTTGATAGTTCCAAATTTAATTGAAATGATTATGAATACAATACAATACAGACATTACAAAATTTAAATTCAATGGAGATTTATATGTAATTAATAAAACAAAAAAGAAGAAATATATTATAAAATATAAAATTATTAGATATAATTTAATCATTATGAATACAATACAATACAGACATTACAAAATTTAAATCGAATGGAGAATTATGTGTAATTAATAAAAGAAAAAAGAAGAAATATATTATAAAATATAAAATTATTTGATATAATTTAATCATTATGAATAATTATGTTTAGTAATTTATTTCTTAAAAGAAACCTTAAATATAATATTCGTAAAAATAAATATATAATAACGTCTGACCTTCAATATTTTTGAATTGAAGAACAGCATTTGAGTAGGGTGGAAGAACAATTTTCACTTTGAACAGTCTCAACACATGACTCCTTACACAATCCACATTTGTATTGGTTTTCTTCAGTAAAAGAGACTTTGCAATAGCACTGGACTCAATGTTAATATGATCAAAATTTTTCAAATACTTCCTGAGACAAACAAACACAAGAATTAGTAATGTGCATTAAACAGTTTTTTATTATGTACAACCTTTAAAAATTCTTAAATTGAGAAACACCATTTGAACAATATGCAGCTAGATAAAGGTGAGTTTTGTGAAAGATAATTTTAGACATTGAATATTCATAACACATGTCTTTCTCCACACACTTCATTCCTTATGGTTGTCTTCAGATAAGGATACAGCAAAATAAGATCAAACTTGGTCCACAGATGACAAATCCTTGGCCAATGCATCCTAAAACCAAAATACACTTGAGTTACTATTATAAGATATTCAATATTAAAAGCCATTTATCTACTAAAGATGGTCTAATATAAAATATAACCATAATATTTTAATGTTTTTATGAAACATTAATATAATGAAAATGTCAGTCTTATAAAAAAAATGAAAAAAGTGAACATAGTGTTTTTTAATACATGATATTTATTCATAACCTTTGATAGGAATATTATAATTTGGGTGTGCAAAACTAAAAATATTGAGTTTCTAAAATAAAACAATTCTACATTGGTAAAATGATTGTGATATTTGAGTTGATTTAGAACTTATAGGAATGCGACCTGTGTGAGAAGTCATAGGACAGTAATAATTATTTACATATTTCTTCTCACAAAAACCGCACTCATATAGTTTATCTTCAGAATGGTATGACCTTTGAGAGGCAGATGTTCTACAAACAGCAAACATGTGTATCATCTTTTGATAGTTCCATATTATAATTGAAATGATTATGAATACAATACAATACAGACATTACAAAATTTGAATTCAATGGAGAATTATATGTAATTAATAAAACAAAAAAGAAGAAATATATTATAAAATATAAAATTATTAGATATAATTTAATCATTATGAATAATGATGATTAGTAATTTATTTCTTAAAAGAAACCTTAAATATAATATTCATAAAAATAATTATATAATAACGTCTGACCTTCAATATTTTTGAATTGAAGAACAGCATTTGAGTAGGGTGGAAGAACAATTTTCACTTTGAACAGTCTCAACACATGACTCCTTACACAATCCACATTTGTATTGGTTTTCTTCAGTAAAAGAGACTTTGCAATAGCACTGGACTCAATGTTAATATGATCAAAATTTTTCAAATACTTCCTGAGACAAACAAACACAAGAATTAGTAATGTGCATTAAACAGTTTTTTATTATGTACAACCTTTAAAAATTCTTAAATTGAGAAACACCATTTGAACAATATGCAGCTAGATAAAGGTGAGTTTTGTGAAAGATAATTTTAGACATTGAATATTCATAACACATGTCTTTCTCCACACACTTCATTCCTTATGGTTGTCTTCAGATAAGGATACAGCAAAATAAGATCAAACTTGGTCCACATAATTATTTACATATTTCTTCTCACAAAAACCGCACTCATATAGTTTATCTTCAGAATGGTATGACCTTTGAGAGGCAGATGTTCTACAAACAGCAAACATGTGTATCATCTTTTGATAGTTCCATATTATAATTGAAATGATTATGAATACAATACAATACAGACATTACAAAATTTGAATTGAATGGAGAATTATATGTAATTAATAAAACAAAAAAGAAGAAATATATTATAAAATATAAAATTATTAGATATAATTTAATCATTATGAATAATGATGATTAGTAATTTATTTCTTAAAAGAAACCTTAAATATAATATTCGTAAAAATAAATATATAATAACGTCTGACCTTCAATATTTTTGAATTGAAGAACAGCATTTGAGTAGGGTGGAAGAACAATTTTCACTTTGAACAGTCTCTACACATGACTCCTTACACAATCCGCATTTGTATTGGTTTTCTACAGTAAAAGATACTTTGCAATAGCACTGGACTCAATGTTAATATGGTCAATATTTTTCAAATACTTCCTGAGAAAAACAAACACAAGAATTAGTAATGTGCATTAAAAAGTTTTCATTATGTACAACCTTTAAAAATTCTTAAATTGAGAAACACCATTTGAACAATATGCAGCTAGATAAAGGTGAGTTTTGTGAAAGATATTTTTAGACTATGAATATTCATAACACATGTCTTTCTCCACACACTTCATTCCTTATGGTTGTCTTCAGATAAGGATACAGCAAAATAAGATCAAACTTGCACACTTCATTCCTTATGGTTGTCTTCAGATAAGGATACAGCAAAATAAGATCAAACTTGGTCAACAGAAGACAAATCCTTGGCCAATGCATCCTAAAACCAAAATACACTTGAGTTACTATTATAAGATATTCAATATTAAAAGCCATTTATCTACTAAAGATGGTCTAATATAAAATATAACCATAATATTTTAATGTNGTCTTTCTCCACACACTTCATTCCTTATGGTTGTCTTCAGATAAGGATACAGCAAAATAAGATCAAACTTGGTCCACAGATGACAAATCCTTGGCCAATTTATCCTAAAACCAAAATACACTTGAGTTACTATTATAAGATATTCAATTTTAAAAGCCATTTATCTACTTAAGATGGTCTAATATAAAATATAACCATAATATTTTAATGTTTTTATGAAACATAAATATAATAAAAATATCAGTCTTATAAAAAAAATGAAAAAAGTGAACATAGTGTTTTTTAATACATGATATTTATTCATAACCTTTGATAGGAATATTATAATTTGGGTGTGCANCCAAAATACACTTGAGTTACTATTATAAGATATTCAATATTAAAAGCCATTTATCTACTAAAGATGGTCTAATATAAAATATAACCATAATATTTTAATGTTTTTATGAAACATTAATATAATGAAAATGTCAGTCTTATAAAAAAAATGAAAAAAGTGAATATAGTGTATTTTAATACATGATATTTATTCATAACCTTTGATAGGAATATTATAATTTGGGTGCTAAATAAGGTCTCATATTTTTACAATTTTTATCTGTTTCATACAATGAAAATTTAAGTCCAACTAAAAAAAAAACATTAACTTGGTGTTTCATAAAAAATATTTTGTTTTAATAGGAAAATTATTTGTAAAGCATGTACTACAATGAACTAAACATATTAAATCAAAATAGTAACTGTTACATATTTGTAGAACCAGTTGTAACATTTGAGCAGTATATGACATAATATAAATGCGATATGAGTGAGAGTCATATGACTATAATTATTCTTAACACATGACTTCTCACAAACAACGCATTCATATAGTTTATCTTTGGTGAAGCATGCCTATTGTAAGGCAGATGCTTCCTCAACATCAAACATTTATTTCATCAAGTGAGAGTTTGGTAATGGTAAAGAACCTTTTAAAATTTGTGAATTAACGAATCTCATTTAAAGAGTGAGTTGTAAGATGAGTTGTGTGTAGGATAACACTTGCCTTGAACAGTAGAATGGACTCAGAACTTGGTGGAATCAATATTTGGCAAATCTTTACTGAAACAATCAAACACTAGAATTGATAATATTCAAAAATCGATATTAATTAGCCTTATATCATTAATTTTAGGCCCTTTTAAAAAATGCAACCATAATATTCATTCATCTCTTTTCAGATATTTAATAGAATTAAGATAAGTCTTATTCAAATTAAAAAAATTTGAACATCGTGTTTTGTAAAACATCATATTCAATAATTTGTTAAAATGGGAGAAAAAATTTTAAAGTATGCAAAACTAAATATATAGTTTCAAAATAATTACTGTTACAAATGTGTAGACCAGGTGTAACATATGAGCAGTTTAAAACAAATATGTATGCGATATGTGAGAGAAGTTATATGATCATAATCATTCTTTACATATTTCTTCTCACAAACACCGCATTCATATAGTTTATCTTTGGAGAAGCATGCCTATTGTAAGGCAGATGCTTCCTGAACATCACACATTTAAATTATCAGGTGAGGGTTTCTTATTATTATACAATTTTAAAATTATAACAATAAAATACAGAACTTAAAATATTTATAATGTATTAAATAATATTTGTTGTTAATATAATAAAGTTAAGGGAAATATTATATAATACAGAGCAATTAAGAATAATTTGGCTTTAAAAATAAAGTTGTTTGAGAATTAATTTATTAAATAAAAANCTTAAATTGAGAAACACCATTTGAACAATATGCAGCTAGATAAAGGTGAGTTTTGTGAAAGATAATTTTAGACATTGAATATTCATAACACATGTCTTTCTCCACACACTTCATTCCTTATGGTTGTCTTCAGATAAGGATACAGCAAAATAAGATCAAACTTGGTCCACAGATGACAAATCCTTGGCCAATGCATCCTAAAACCAAAATACACTTGAGTTACTATTATAAGATATTCAATATTAAAAGCCATTTATCTACTAAAGATGGTCTAATATAAAATATAACCATAATATTTTAATGTTTTTATGAAACATTAATATAATGCAAATGTCAGTCTTATAAAAAAAATGAAAAAGGTGAACATAGTGTTTTTTAATACATGATATATATTCATAACCTTTGATAGGAATATTATAATTTGGGTGTGCAAAACTAAAAATATTGAGTTTCTAAAATAAAACAATTCTACATTGGTAAAATGATTGTGATATTTGAGTTGATTTAGAACTTATAGGAATGCGACCTGTGTGAGAAGTCATAGGACAGTAATAATTATTTACATATTTCTTCTCACAAAAACCGCACTCATATAGTTTATCTTCAGAATGGTATGACCTTTGAGAGGCAGATGTTCTACAAACAGCAAACATGTGTATCATCTTTTGATAGTTCCATATTATAATTGAAATGATTATGAATACAATACAATACAGACATTACAAAATTTGAATTCAATGGAGAATTATATGTAATTAATAAAACAAAAAAGAAGAAATATATTATAAAATATAAAATTATTAGATATAATTTAATCATTATGAATAATGATGATTAGTAATTTATTTCTTAAAAGAAACCTTAAATATAATATTCGTAAAAATAAATATATAATAACGTCTGACCTTCAATATTTTTGAATTGAAGAACAGCATTTGAGTAGGGTGGAAGAACAATTTTCACTTTGAACAGTCTCAACACATGACTCCTTACACAATCCACATTTGTATTGGTTTTCTTCAGTAAAAGAGACTTTGCAATAGCACTGGACTCAATGTTAATATGATCAAAATTTTTCAAATACTTCCTGAGACAAACAAACACAAGAATTAGTAATGTGCATTAAACAGTTTTTTATTATGTACAACCTTTAAAAATTCTTAAATTGAGAAACACCATTTGAACAATATGCAGCTAGATAAAGGTGAGTTTTGTGAAAGATAATTTTAGACATTGAATATTCATAACACATGTCTTTCTCCACACACTTCATTCCTTATGGTTGTCTTCAGATAAGGATACAGCAAAATAAGATCAAACTTGGTCCACAGATGACAAATCCTTGGCCAATGCATCCTAAAACCAAAATACACTTGAGTTACTATTATAAGATATTCAATATTAAAAGCCATTTATCTACTAAAGATGGTCTAATATAAAATATAACCATAATATTTTAATGTTTTTATGAAACATTAATATAATGAAAATGTCAGTCTTATAAAAAAAATGAAAAAAGTGAACATAGTGTTTTTTAATACATGATATTTATTCATAACCTTTGATAGGAATATTATAATTTAGGTGTGCAAAACTTAAAATATTGAGTTTCTAAAATAAAACAATTTTACATTGGTAAAATGATTGTGATATATCAGTTGATTTAGAACTTATCGGAATGCGACCTGTGTGAGAATTCATAGGACAGTAATAATTATTTACATATTTCTTCTCACAAAAACCGCACTCATATAGTTTATCTTCAGAATGGTATGACCTTTGAGAGGCAGATGTTCTACAAACAGCAAACATGTGTATCATCGAGTTGATTTAGAACTTATAGGAATGCGACCTGTGTGAGAAGTCATAGGACAGTAATAATTATTTACATATATCTTCTCACAAAAACCGCACTCATATAGTTTATCTTCAGAATAGTATGAACTTTGAGAGGCAAATGTTCTACAAACAGCAAACATGTGTATCATCTTTTGATAAATCCATATTATAATTGAAATGATTATGAATACAATACAATACAGACATTACAAAATTTGAATTCAATGGAGAATTATATGTAATTAATAAAACAAAAAAGAAGAAATATATTATAAAATATAAAATTATTAGATATAATTTAATCATTATGAATAATGATGATTAGTAATTTATTTCTTAAAAGAAACCTTAAAACAGCACACATGTGTATCAACTTTTGATAGTTCCATATTATAATTGTAATGATTGTGAATACAATACAATACAGACATTACAAAATTTAAATTCAATGGAGAATTATATGTAATTAATAAAACAAAAAAGAAGAAATATATTATAAAATATAAAATTATTAGATATAATTAATTCATTATGAATAATGATGATTAATAATTTATTTCTTAAAAGAAACCTTAAATATAATATTCATAAAAATAATTATATTATAACGTCTGACCTTCAATATTTTTGAATTGAAGAACAGTATTTGAGTAGGGTGGAAGAACAAATTTCACTTTGAACAGTCTCAACACATGATATCTTACACAATCCACATTTGTATTGGTTTTCTTCAGTAAAAGAGACTTTGCAATAGCACTGGACTCAATGTTAATATGATCAAAATTTTTCAAATACTTCCTGAGACAAACAAACACAAGAATTAGTAATGTGCATTAAACAGTTTTTTATTATGTACAACCTTTAAAAATTCTTAAATTGAGAAACACCATTTGAACAATATGCAGCTAGATAAAGGTGAGTTTTGTGAAAGATAATTTTAGACATTGAATATTCATAACACATGTCTTTCTCCACACACTTCATTCCTTATGGTTGTCTTCAGATAAGGATACAGCAAAATAAGATCAAACTTGGTCCACAGATGACAAATCCTTGGCCAATGCATCCTAAAACCAAAATACACTTGAGTTACTATTATAAGATATTCAATATTAAAAGCCATTTATCTACTAAAGATGGTCTAATATAAAATATAACCATAATATTTTAATGTTTTTATGAAACATTAATATAATGAAAATGTCAGTCTTATAAAAAAAATGAAAAAAGTGAACATAGTGTTTTTTAATACATGATATTTATTCATAACCTTTGATAGGAATATTATAATTTGCTTCTTGGTACAAACAAACACTAGAATAAGTAATGTTCATAATTCTACATCAAAGGCCTTATATCATTAAAATTATGTCCTTTTAAAAAATGCAACAATAATATTCATACATTTCTTGTCAGATGTTTAATACTATGTAGATATAAGTCTTATTCAAAATAAAAAAATTTGAACATAGTGTTTTGTAAAACATCATATTCAATAATTTGTTAAAATGGGAGAAAAAATTTTAAAGTATGCAAAACTAAATACAGAGTTTCAAAATGATAACTGTTACAAATGTGTAGACCAGGTGTAACATATGAGCAGTTTAAAACAAATATGTATGCGATATGTGAGAGAAGTTATATGATCATAATCATTCTTTACATATTTCTTCTCACAAACATCGCATTCATATAGTTTATCTTTGGAGAAGAATGCCTATTGTGAGGCAGATGCTTCCTGAACATCACACATTTAAATTATCAGGTGAGGGTTTCTTATTATTATACAATTTTAAAATTATAACAATAAACTACAGAACTTAAAATATTTATAATGTATTGAATAATATTTGTTGTTAATATAATAAAGTTAAGGGAAATATTATATAATACGGAGCAATTAAGAATAATTTGGCTTTAAAAATAAAGATGTTTGAGAATTAAATTTATTAAATAAAAACATAATTAAATTAAATTTTTAAAAACCAAATAAAAAATGGTATACGACCTTCAAAAATTTGTAAATTGAGGAACAGCATTTAAACAAAATTAGGCCAGATCTAGATGAGTTGTGCATAAAATAACATTTGACCTTGAACATTGTTAATATATTTCTTCCTAAACACGGCCAATTGATATTTGTTGTCTTCGGTCAAGGCTACAGTACTTCCCACAGAATCCCACAGAACTTGGTGGATATATGATCAATATTTGTCAAATCTTTCGATCAATATTTGTCAAATCTTTCCTGAAACAATCAAACACTAGAAATAATAATATTCATAATCAATATTTGTCAAATCTTTCCTGAAACAATCAAACACTAGAAATAATAATATTCATAATTCAATATTAATGGCATATGACCTTTAATAATGTGAAAATTGAAGAACTGCATTTAAACAGTGTGTAGCCAGATTAAGATGAGTTGTGTGTAAGATGACACTTGTCTTGAAAGTACTTAGCATATGTCTTCCTACAAAAACTGCATGAGTATTGGTTGTCTTCAGTAAAAGTGATGTTGCAATAGCACAGAACTCAATGGCAATATGATCAATTTTTGGCAAATGCTTCCTGAAACAATCAAAAAATAGAATTAATAATGTGCATGATCAAATATTAATGGCATACAACCTTTAATAATGTGAAAATTGAAGAACTACATTTAAACAGTATATGGCCAGATATAAATGAGATGTGTATAAGATAACATATGAACTTGAACATTGCTAACATATATATTCCTTCACAAACTGCATAAATATTGGTTCTCTCCAGTCAAGACTAAAGTACAAGAGTACAGAACTTGGTTATAATATGAGAAATATTTCGCAAATGCTTCTTGGTACAAACAAACACTAGAATAAGTAATGTTCATAATTCTACATCAAAGGCCTTATATCATTAAAATTATGTCCTTTTAAAAAATGCAACAATAATATTCATACATTTCTTGTCAGATGTTTAATACTATGTAGATATAAGTCTTATTCAAAATAAAAAAATTTGAACATAGTGTTTTGTAAAACATCATATTCAATAATTTGTTAAAATGGGAGAAAAAATTTTAAAGTATGCAAAACTAAATACAGAGTTTCAAAATAATTACTGTTACAAATGTGTAGACCAGGTGTAACATATGAGCAGTTTAAAACAAATATGTATGCGATATGAGTGAGAAGTTATATGATCATAATCATTCTTTACATATTTCTTCTCACAAACATCGCATTCATATAGTTTATCTTTGGAGAAGAATGCCTATTGTGAGGCAGATGCTTCCTGAACATCACACATTTAAATTATCAGGTGAGGGTTTCTTATTATTATACAATTTTAAAATTATAACAATAAAATACAGAACTTAAAATATTTATAATGTATTAAATAATATTTGTTGTTAATATAATAAAGTTAAGGGAAATATTATATAATACAGAGCAATTAAGAATAATTTGGCTTTAAAAATAAAGATGTTTGAGAATTAATTTATTAAATAAAAACATAATTNCAGGTGTAACATATGAGCAGTTTAAAACAAATATGTATGCGATATGTGAGAGAAGTTATATGATCATAATCATTCTTTACATATTTCTTCTCACAAACATCGCATTCATATAGTTTATCTTTGGAGAAGAATGCCTATTGTGAGGCAGATGCTTCCTGAACATCACACATTTAAATTATCAGGTGAGGGTTTCTTATTATTATACAATTTTAAAATTATAACAATAAACTACAGAACTTAAAATATTTATAATGTATTGAATAATATTTGTTGTTAATATAATAAAGTTAAGGGAAATATTATATAATACGGAGCAATTAAGAATAATTTGGCTTTAAAAATAAAGTTGTTTGAGAATTAATTTATTAAATAAAAACCTAATTAAATTAAATTTTTAAAAACCAAATAAAAAATGGTATACGACCTTCAAAAATTTGTAAATTGAGGAACAGCATTTAAACAAAATTAGGCCAGATCTAGATGAGTTGTGCATAAAATAACATTTGACCTTGAACATTGTTAATATATTTCTTCCTAAACACGGCCAATTGATATTTGTTGTCTTCGGTCAAGGCTACAGTACTTCCCACAGAATCCCACAGAACTTGGTGGAAATATGATCAATATTTTGTAAATGTTTCCTGAAACAATCAAACACTAGAACTAGTAATGTTGATTATTCAAGATTAATGGCATACAACCTTAAAAACTCGTAAATTGAGGAACAGCATTTTGGAAGTATGTGGCCAGATATAGATGAGATGTGTATAAGATAACATATGAACTTGAACATTGCTAACATATGTCTTCCTGCACACGCCCCATTTATATTGGTTGTCTTCAGTGAAGGCTAAAGTACAGTAGCACAGAACTTTGTTGTAATACAATCAATATTTGGCAAATGCTTGCTGATACAAACAAACACTTAAATGTGTAATGTTCATATATCAAAATTAAAGGCCTTTTTATATGGAAATAAGGATCTTCATAAAATGACATAATAACCTTACATTTCTTATCCAATGCTTAATACAATGAAAATATTATTCTTATTCTATAAATAAAAAACAGGAACATAGTGTTTTGTAAAACTTGATGTTCATTAATTTGTTTTATTGGAAAATTAATTTTAAAGCATGTCAAACTAAATATATTAAGTCTCAAAATGGTAACTGCTCCAAATTTGTAGATTGAGTTGTAAGATTTGAGCAGTATAAGACCTAATATGAATGCGAGAAGTTATATGACCATAATCTTTCTTTACATATTTCTTCTCACATACACCGCATTCATAAAGGTTTTTTGTTTGAGAAGAATGCATTGTGAAAGGCATATGCTACCTGAACATCAAACACTTATAATATCCAGTGGGAGTTCCTTATAATAATTGATTAGAAAATTAGTAATCTCATTGGAGAATCAACCCCAAACATGTTTAAGTATACTATGTATATTATATTATGTATAATTACTACTTTATACTCCTTTAATTGTATTTATAAAGACTACTTGTCGTTTAAATGAAGATGTTGAAAGGCAGTTTAAAAAAAAAAAAATCTAAATATAACTTATTTAATCCTTTAAATGTTTTTGGAAAGTTACTCACAAAGTAAAATGAAGTTAAAATATTATTATATATTTTTATTACAAGTCTGATGCTAACATTTTCATTCTTTTGGTCTTGTAAATTATTTAACCTGCCATGAGTCCTATCAAATTAGTTTATTATTTTACTAATTGCTCGCTGTGAGTAATTTACTTTATTTTGTGCAATATGTACATGTTGAATTTTTTTTTTAATTATTTAGAACATTTAATAATTTATTTATTATCTGTTGAATTTATAACTATTTTTAAAATCTGTAACCTGTCAAAAATACCATATGTGACTAAACTCGATATCAATTTTGTTAGGTATTATTTTCAATCTTAAATGAAAAAACCAACAAAAATAATCTATCTAAACACTTACCACTTATCTCTTCAAGTAATTAATCGAAGGTTGTAATATTTCCGTTTAGTTTTATAGTCATTGCAAGCTTATATCAGTATTTTTATTAATTTATTTTCACTTTAAGCTTTAGTATAATGTTTCCATTAATACCAACTTTTATTATTAAATATAATAAATAAATAAAGTATAATTTGTGTAAATCATTAATAAATACATTTGTATGTAAAATGTTTAAACATTATACAAGATAAGTGAATGTGTGTTACAAATAGTAATGCAACTCATGGCGGGTTAATGAACTTAAAATAATGAAATAAAGAAAAAATAAATACAATAGATTCATATTGTTTTATCCTATAAAAATTTGATTATCAATAGATTGTTATTCCAATTTTCTATATCAAAAATTAAAACCTAACAATTATTTTAGTAAAAAATGTATCAGCAAAACAATTATATAAAAAAAAAAAGAAATCATTCAAATTTTCAAAATTTTCTTTTGCGGTGTAACAGGTTAGCCAAATATGCTCTTTACATAAATACACACCACATGAAAAACTGATCTTTAAAACTTACAATAAAAAATTTCCAAATTACTGAGTAACAAAAATATTTTATCTAAATAATTAACTTCATAATGATAATTTTATAAAAAATATTATGGCACAGTTACTATTGTGTGAGTGGGACGCTAACATATTCCTTAATGGGGAATTTTACTGTTCATAATACCTACAATTAGATGTTAATAATTTGTTGTTGTTGTTATTTTATTACAATATAATGAGGTTATTATGTCAATAATAGGTACATGAAGTTTTAAAACAATATTTTTTTATTTGAAGAAGTGATTTCTAATATAAGTTGAATGTTCGCGAAACGCTAACCATATACCAATGACGGGTTAATGGCAATATGGTATCATTATATGTAATAATAATGTATATAAAATTGTACACAATCTATTGCAGCAATATAGATGCTAGGAAACATTAATATTTATAGCGAGACAATTTTTTTTCAATGATAGGTAGTTATGTATATTATCTCAGCAACTTAGTCTTGGTTAGCTCCCTTAATAATATAACCTGATTTCCTCATATGGGTGGACCTAGGATCTATAAGAGACAGAAGCTCCCTCAAACACAGAAATTATATAATAATGATAAATAAATTATTATATACCTAAAAAATTATAGTCTAATGATATCAGATGATAGTGGCAAAAGAAAAATTAATATAATATTAATATGCAAAAAACAAACATTAAAATGAATAACTTAAATGAACATTACTCATAGGTAACTCATTTTTTTAACATTCTATTTTGATAATTATAGGTTTTTACTACAATAAAGAAACTTAAAAATTGATTATATAATATAGGTACTACTGTAAAAAAAAATACATAGTTTTTATTTAAATTCAATATGTGTTATAGCCATACACCGGTATTAGTGAGAGCTCACATTATTATATCGATAACACAATACCTAGGTAGCAAGTATAAGTATAAGTATAATCACATCAGATGACAAATATACATAAATAATCACTATTAAAGCTTTTGTACTCTGTTTAAAACAATATAATAAACAAAACGATACATACCTGTCTATGTCCACAAATACACAATCAATGACGACGAATAACAATATCACACAGCGTCATTTTCATGACCACTTAAAATTGCTATAGACCATGATCACAAGAAAAAATGGCAATTTTACAAAATCTAAATCTTTCACTACATACGGTATAAATGGTAAAAGCCAATTGTAAAGTTGAAAAAAAATAAAAAAACGACGAACGCATAAACAAAACTGTAATGTCATGAGTGTGTAACTGTGGAGCGTCACGGCCTCTTTGGAACAAACCTGCATTGCCTAACCTTAGAAGTATTCCCATTTGTTATCAATATAATATGTGAAAACATGATTTTTATCACCATAAATATAATCATTAATTATTCTTTATAGACATACCTGCGAACATCACAAAATAGATAGGTATGCTATCAACTTTGTGTCTTTGTGATACACAACATTCGGGTTCTCCCCTTCACAAACGTAACGTTATCCGAATATTATATATTGTTATTTTGTAATTATTCTGAATCTTCTGAGTTCTAAAAACGGCTTATGTCACAGTTCTGGACAAGGTACGGAAAAGGTGCGCATTCTCGTTCAAAATACAATTTGATGATAGCATTCCTATCTATTTACCCCACGAATTTGTCGGCATACTATAGAATAAATGAAATTTTACTTATTTTTTGGATCTACTATATATAATAATTAATATATATTATATTATACATTAATATAAACGGTGGATTAATCCATTTTGGAATTGCAACAACTATGATAATTTACTACCTCAACTAAATGATAATCAGAATTTCATTAAATATTACGAATACAACTGCTCCAATAGTGTATTCATTGACAACTAGAATATCAATCCTATGGTTTTCGATGTTCTTCATCAAATTCAATTATTTCCTTCTCGATAAATTAAGTGATCAATTTACAAAATAAAAATTAGACGGCGCGCTAGACATAGATAATAAAGAATGGATATGCAATGTTGCCTTATCAGTTATCACACGTCCCCGAAAACGCTTTCCTAAGTTGGTTTTTTTTTGATTTTATAATACACATTTTTTTTCTGAGTTATGATTCCACTCATTTTCAAAACCAAGTAATATCATTGATTTTATAATAAATATATATTATAAAATACTAAATTTCAATTAATTATTTATGATATTTGTAACCGAGCTATTATAATAAATGCAATGTTATATTTTATATAATCACTTATAATTAGTGAAATTTAAATTATTAAAACTATTATTTTTCAAAGGTATGCATCCATACAACATACATACTATAATAATCAAATATTAATGTTATCTTAAAGAGTATTAAAGGCTAGATGAAGAAGAATAATAACGAATCATTATCATTATAATCATATTTTAAAAAATTGTAAAATACATAAATAAATATGCACTAAAATTATTTCTTATAAATAAAAAGCCATTAATTAATGGGCCGGTTTAATTTTAAACACCATTGTCTGAATTAACATAATCCGGTATTTATGTGTGGCCTTAGTATTTTGTTATTTTAAATTTCCATGGTTTGTTTTTTATCAGAAATATTGCCCCAATAGAAAAAAAACCACAAAATATCTTTTTTGTTGAATTTTTAATCTAGTTGGTGAATTAGAGAGCGTTTTTTGATTTTCTTTGTAGTTTTTATAATAATTTGGCAAAACTAAAAAAAATGTAGAGGGCACAAGCAAACAGTAATGCAACAGGCGGGGTGTTGTTTGATAATTACCCGAGTACCTAAAATTTTTGTAGGCACAATTAATTTTTGTGTTGTCAGTATTTATTTTATTATCACAGAAATTTCCCACATAAAACATCAAGATTTGAATAATGGTGATAATAAAGGTACCTATTTATTGTAAAACTAATGAAAATAGTTAACATTCTTTATTTTGTGAAGCTATCATGTATAGATACAGATTGGTTTAGCGATCTGTAATGATTAAAGTTTCATTATAATTATCATATCAGCATAATTATCATTAACTCTTTCAGTCCCATTGTACATTGTAATATACATACTTTTTTTTATTTTTTTTATTAATTTATCATAAGAATTATTCATGTCAGTGAGTTCTATAACACTATAGATATAGTACAATGTGTATGTTACAATTTATATTGTAAAATTTTGAAACTCATTTTGTAGTATATTTATATAATAAGTAAACAGAAAAATAATTGTACACACAATCTTAACTTGATAATATCAGATGTTGTTAAGAGTAAACAAAGTATTATGTTTTTTTTAAACTGTTTAGGCTGTATTCAGTTCAAATGCACCAAGATAGGCAAATTTGGCTTTTGGTGAGTTATGTAAATAAAATTAGATAAAGAATCGCAAAAAAAAGTATGCCCTACTCACTGGGAATCCCAGTGCCTTAAAATTAATATTTCCTTAATAAGTCAAAAAAAAGAAATATAAACTATAAATATTCTAAAAAAAAAATTGGAAACTTTGAATTTGTTTTATTGCTATGCTTATGAAGATAAATATAGCATTATATGGAGTATCACAGTCTCTCCAATGTAAAATTAAAATACTAATTTATATAATGCTAGTCAAAAGGCCGTAATATTTTTTTACTAATATCTACATTTCATACATTTTCCTGTTTTCTCATTAATCCTCTCCTCAAATCACCTCTGTAACAGTATTTATCCTCTAGGACTCTTAGATCAGTTCAGCTTACATAGCTAAATTCCTGTTCTGTATTCACCTAAAAAAAATTTCTAGATCCACTCTTATAATGAGTGCTATTGTGTGATCAAACACAATTTCTATCATAAAATCATGTTTCTAAATTATTTAATCATTTTATGGTGATTTAAGACATTTTTGTCAGTTTTTTAGTGCATTTTTTAAACCTTTTTAAAGAGATTCAAACTAAGTATTTTATTTACTATATTATTGAGTTTAAATAAATATTAGTTTTAAAAAACAATTTTTCTATTCAGAATATGATATGAACTTAAGACATTAGAACAGAATAATTTATCATCCCAATTGTATAGATAATAAGCAAAACTATGTTAATGTAAAATAGTTTTAAAGGTAAAGCATCAATTATAAACATTTAAAGACAACCTCATCAAGATTTTAAAAAAATATCTACTATTTAAAGAGTTACAGACTTTAAAATGTTATTATCTAAACATTTTTTATAGGTATCTTACTGTTAAAATCAATTTTAATGGCCTGTACATGAACACATTTATGTTATATTGCCTGTATGAAAGAAGTAAATGTCACTGACATAGCCTCTTAAATATTTAAATTAACCCATTAACGCCTACATTTTTATGTGGCAAAATAAATAAAACTTTTTTTGGACATTCTATGCAAAGTAGTAATTTCCTATATAGTGATTATTCTATTATGCCATAAAAGACCACTTATGTTAATGAGTTAACTATGTTTTAAATTTAATACATAAAAAAAATCTACAATATGACAAAATAATATTTATAAACTCCCTGTTAATAATAAATAATAATTGTAATTGAATACTTTGGCCAATAATAAACATTTTCGCATAACAATAAAAATGAATAATATATATTATAAAATATTAGCTTAATTTAAAATTAAACTAAATTCAGTTAGTTTATAATATCAATTTATACATCCTATAGTTTATATAAACCACAAATTTAACACTAATAATTAAATCACTATTAAACTAATCAATCTAAAGTAGTAATTTGGTAGATGGCTTATGATCTAATTCTTCTGTATCATTTGAAGAATCAGAAATTGAAATATTCATATCTTGTTCACTGGTATTCCAAACACCATTACCTGAAAAATGATAGTATCTTTCCAAATTGTACAATGCCAGTGATAATATATATTCAGATTTTATTGACCCAGATGAATTTCGCAGATAAGAAATATTTATCATGTTTTCTGTGGTCTTAAGTGCATCTTCAACTCGAGATCTATTGAACCAATACATATATTCAAAGTCAATTATAAATTATAATTTATATTTAATCAAAGTTATATTACACTGGGTATAATAAAATATGTATACAATGACATATTTGATCATTGGTAAAATGTTTAGTTTTAAGAAATTCATAAGTAGTTCTTATTGTTAACAAAGAAATATACTGCCAATATGGATGACGTTCTAAATACGACCGCAATTTTGTTTTATTGGCACCAAACTCTTTTGTTAAATACATCATTGTATCATTAGTTCTCCCTTTATCAGTACCATTGCAATTAAATCTGTTACAGATTAAATGTTTTAATTATCAAATACATGGTTCATTAACCTAATATAATAAAGATAATAGTAATAAAAACCTGTTAAATTTAGAATCATTTGTAACCAATAAATTTAAAGACAAACAATTTTTGTTTGTTAAATAATTTAAACGAAAATTGACTTTTTTAAAGTAATAAAGGAGCCTAGCAACTTGTGGATGATTTAAAAATGATGCCAATTCTGGCGTTTCTTTCAATTTGCATAATCTTTCATATACAGTTTTACTTCCCAATGTGTATAATTCAGGAGCTCTAGCAATTGCAGATTCTGGAATTCCAAATTCCTGTTACAGGAAAATGCAATATGTTAAATAATTGTTAAATCTATATAGTGAAATTCAATATTTCCTTGACATGGATATCCATATCATGAACCAACCATTAACCAATAATAATGGTTTATGTAATGAATAATGTCATTTTATTTTTAAATTTACACTGTATGGGTAAATGTTATAAAATGATCACCCGAAAAAAATCTTAATACTAATATGTATAATTTGAGTACTAACTGAGTAATTGGTTATCAAAAATAATAATACAATTATATTATTTATATCATACAAATTTCCAAAACCAGAAAAATAGACATAATTACTTATTGTGATTTTTATCAGTATATTATCTGACTATGTAAGAGGAATCTACAATTTTATAATGGTTTATCATTTGTACTGGAATACAAAGTTATCGGGTATAGCATAAAAAAAAAGTATAATAATTTTATATATTAACTACGAATTGAATATCTGAATAACTGCTATAAAATATAAATCTAAAAATTAATTTTTTTAGACAGTAGTTACTCAATTTATTTAATTAATAAATATAACCATTTAACCAAAACAATTTTATTGCAATTTGATTTTAATAATGTCATATACTAGGTAATTAATAAATTATTATTACTAACATTATTATTATTACATAAAACTATGGAATGCATTAATGTGTATATATTCACTGAAGATAGTTGACAAGGTATATTTTTATTATTTTCTTAAAATTGAAGTTCTCATTCTGATAATGTCTAAATAATATCTATCAAATAAGATTATACAATGATACAATTTAATAATAGGTTATACCTATCCAATAAGATTAAAATTAAACCAACATTTTATTGTGCAATATTATTGTCATAGTATTGATATAGAATGCAGTTATTCAGACATACAGAGTTTATATCTAATATATGATTAGCCTTTATCTTTGAATTTTACAAAAAACTACACAAAAGAGGCATAAATTAAATAAAGGGTGAGACGAAGTTGTCTGTTCTTACCCAATTTATTCAACCTGTCCATACTAGACTATTTGAACAGAACACTAACATAATCAAATCTAAAGTGCAGCCACTGTTATAGATAATTTAATGTATACTTGTAAGTAACAATAAACCATTTCTTACGAAAAACGATTCTGAAGGGAGTTTAGTTGATAGTGATGCTTTGCAATATGCTGACAGTAATATATGCCTTATTATAGTAAAATAATTAAATAGGCATTATATATTTTTATTAATAATATTTGTTTAATATTGTACCTATTTTCTCATGTTTTCCCATTTATTATAAAAACTCTTAGGAAAGTCATAAAATGACCTTTCTAAAGTACCTCCCCAATCGATTTCTATTTAGAAGAATAAATTGCTACATTTCAAAATCAGAAAAAGATCTTTGGTAGAAAAGTTGTCCACAGAAAAAAAAACATCTTTGTAAAACTATAAGCTTTTTCACTCCATTCAGAATCTAAAATACACAAAAAAAAATACTATATTACAACCAATATTAAAATTAATGATGAAACAATTCATAACAACTAAAGGAATTTTCCTACCAAAGAAGATAATAGATTTCTAATCTACTATCTTCTAGAAACTAGAAAGATCTTCATAAAAATGTAGAACTAGAATATATTTCTGGATGCCAAATGTGGACCATCATAAAAAGTATGAAAAGAAGTGTTGGAGATGTAGTTGTGGATAACAATGACAAAGACGAGAAGAAAGAACAGTCACCATTCTGCAAAAAATTAGAGAAGGAAAAAACATCATTACATTTATAATGAAAAGGAAATTGAACCTCATTTACTAAATGATCTATATCAGATTTATCATCAAAATGTAAATAAGGCATAAGATGGTCGTAAGAAAGACCCCAATAATCTAACATTCAACATTTGATGGGCCTTATTTCTTGTCAGCACTAGCATATAGTGCATAACAAAGATATTTGGCTGTAATGATAAGGAATCAGAAACTAATTATGAATACTTAATATTTATATACTATTATGTATTAATTCATGATATTTAATAATATTAACAATATTTTTTGCAGATAACCATTTCACAAAAGTTACTCATATAGTTTAATTACACAAACTGTAAATTAATGGTTTTCATTTCACAAAATGAATAAAATGAGTGTCCTCTAAAAACACCTTATATTTTATAATACAATTTGTTGGACACCACATATACATTACCTAAATAACAATTAAATATAAGTATGTGACTAAATAAATAGATACTAGTTTATAATAATAAAAAACTACCTCAATATGATTTTTGATCTGCTCTATTGTTTTCCAGGAACCAAGTATTATTTTTGGGTGTTTATTTAAAAGTAATTTTACATCCATACCACAAAGATATTTGAAGTTATTTATGATTGCTTGAGTATTATCAGGATCACTATATATTAGATAAGGATTTCTTTTGAGCTATATTTGAGTAAAAATATGTACAATATAAAATATAATGAATAATTAAATTTAAATAAATTTAAAAAATGAAATAAATTAAACCTATATTTACTTTATCTTTGCTAAAGTTTAATTCATAGAGCATAATATCAATACTTTTTTCTGTGAGTCGGAAACTTTTATTATACAATCTATTATAAATTTTTTGTGCACTGACTACATGGCCACTGTCCATTTGAAGTTTCCAATTAACATACAAATGAAACATATTTCTCTGAACTTGTGCCCATGAAATTGAATCATCATAGGATTCTGGATATAATTTTTGTGGAAATTTAGTAAATGACAAAATATGATGGCTTACGTTAATATCTGCATGAATATATTTTTCATTTTTCAATACTTGAATAGAATTTTTTGATATATACTTAAACCTTAAACAACAAAAATTTGAACAAACATACATATCACAATTATTATTTTGACATCATCTACATTGATTTTTTCCCCTATAATAAAATTTCCTCTCTAAAACAAAATAAATAAACTAATATTTTAATTTTTGGTTAAAGTATAAAAGAGAACTTTGAAATATTCAAATTATAAAGTAACAATTGGATAACTCTTAACAAAGTCAATCATGTGTATACTATAATATATAACAGTATTTGACAATCATACAATCAATAGTCATAAATGGTTCACAATGTTAAAACACAGAAGTGTTTGAGAGGAATGCTACGCAAAATATATGGACCGAAATATTGTAATGAAGATTAACAGTGGTAAGTTGAAATGGGCAGGCCACAAGTGTAGAAAATAAAATACAATGGTAGAAAGAGTGCTCAAAGAAAACTCAAGGAGCAAAATGCAGTTGGGTGAGCCAAGGCTATATTGGGAAGATGGAATCAGAAAAGATTTCCTGAATGACAGAGGAGAAAATTATGGAAATCTGGATTGAAAGGAGGCAGCGCAGAATAAGGAAAAATGGAAGAAGATTTGTGATATAACAAGATGATTTCAAAGGCTTTAGAAAAAAAAAAATGAGTATTAAAATAATAAATTAGATTTATAAAAAGTTAAAAAAATTAAGTAAGATTTGTTAAAATTATGATGTTATATAAAATTATCAATTTAAAGGACTGACTCCTGGATTCCTATATGTGAAGCCAGTATTTCAGTCTTTTAGAAAAAAATTAAAAACAATTTTAAGGCCGCAGTATTTCATTAAAATTTATTTTTAAAATTCATAAAAAATCAAAAATACTACCATTGCGCCTTCTGTCACTGTTTCAAACATTTCTGTTAAGTCTAACAACTTATCTACAGAGTACCAACCAAAAAAAATAATGTAAAAATTATCAAAATTAATATGTCTATAAGTAGTTCGAAAATTGGTCAAATGTTCTAAAAGTTTAACCAGAAAAAGTAAATAAAAGTTTTCTGTTAAAATTTGAAGTTTCTATGAATAAATTCTAAATTCTAAATTTAAAATAATAAAACTATTATTTTCGTAGATTTTCCTGTATTTTTGTATTTTGTTCAGTTTTGCTCAATTATTAAAATAACAATGAAAATCAAAAAACTACTTTCTTATTCATCAGCTAGATTACAAACTCAACAAAATAGATCTCTTTGTGTTTTTTTATTGAAGCAATATTTATGGCAGAAGACATAGACATGAAAATTTAAAATAAATTCTATATTTTGTCTTTTCTGGTTTTTCCTAATTTGAAATACGAAATCAATTTACTCTGTCAGTAGAGAAATATTGATAGGAACAAACTTGATCACTTTATATTTTTGGATTGGAGCAATATTCTTGGTAGAAAAATTAAGTATAATACAATGAAAATGCGCCGAAAATATTTGCTATTTACCTATAATTTTCTTTCAGTATTTCACAATTATTTCGAAAAGCCCTTGAAAAATCACAAAATGACCTACACAATGCAAGAAACAAGAAAAAATTATTTTTCAGAAAAGTGCTATAATTTATATTTTGGCACATTTTTTCTGGTAGAAAAGTTTGCCACAGACAGAAAAAAAAAAATATATCATGGTAAAACTAATACCTAAAATCTGAATCTAAAATTATCAGGTGTAAGCTCATTCAGAAAAAAAAGAATCTAAAAATGTACAAAAGTATCAAAAAAGATACATAACAAAATTATGGACACAAATTACAATTAGGGCTCAGATTTATATGCATTTGATTTTTTTGCAGTTCAAAAAGTAGTCAATAAGTTCCAAGTTTAAATTAGTCAATAGAACTAGAATACAAAGTTTTATTTTGTATATTTTTTGACATGTATTACATATGTCTGTATTTTACAATTTTTAATTCCATATAAATAGTTTTTAAATGCATAATGTGTAATATTTTGGTTATTTTTATATTAGTTTAAAAGTAATGATAGAAATAATTCAAATATTTTAGATAGAAATAGAAATTAAAGATAGAAATAATACATTTTTTTTTTATTTTAAAAGGTATATTTCTACAAAATAGCAGCAAAAATGCATATTTCTATGGTTTTTAGAACATATAAATCCTGGCCCTAGTAGCAATAGTCTCAATTTTCTGGAAAACTAAAAAATGTACTTCCTAAAATATAAAATAAATATTAAAAATAAAAATAAGCATTTATTACCTTAACAATGTTTTTATATCGACTCTACATTTATTAAATCCTCCTTCTTCTAAAAGCATAAAATAATTTTTAACGGTTATTGGATGTACTGTCAATATTTGAATTTGTCTAATAATTTCTTCTCTCGAAAATCCAAAATTCTATAATATAGACACAACAAATAAAACAGTATGTGATCAAATTTGTATTGATTATTCAACTCCCAACTTTGTGCAGTAAAGTAAATATGCATTTTTTCATAAATAAAGATTATCTTTATAAAATTACCATTAACTGTCCAAAACTTTCAGATAATTCAGCATGAGAATCGTTGTAAAATGAAGGAAACTTACTACACATTTTTTTTATTTCATTTTCAGATAAACCTAGAAAAAAAAATTTGTTTATAATAAATCTAATCAATAATATTTTTCTAAAACTAGCTACTGTATTATAATTTTTTTTTTTTTTTTTTTTTTTTTAGTTTTAAAAGCATTTGGCTGCTGAAACTAATTTTTTTCAAACTGTATTATATTAAAACATATTATTATATATATATGTATGTATATAACAATATAACAATTATAACTGGTTCATTCATTAGAAACAATTGAAACCACAGTTTATGAACTATTGGGTACTTTTATAATATTTAAAAATAGTTTTTTAAAGTTTTAACTCTAGTAAATCAGTTTGTGTTAAATATTAATAAGCGTTTGTATATAATCAAATATTTGAGTTCAAATTTAGTGCTGTAATTTTATATAATAACTTGCATTATTTATTTATGTTTATTATAGTTTACTGTTTAGATTTTGAATAAATAAATTATTAATTTTGATAACTTTACTATAATAAATTATATAAGTTTATAGATAATAGTAGGTGTTATTACATGTTAAAATATACAGATCTATGTTATTAACATTATATTTTAAATTACTTATGTATGAAAGAAAAAATAACTTTATTTTTAATTTTTCAGTGAATTTAGTTTTTCAATGAGTTAAAAGCTGGTATAAAGCAAATAAAAGTTGTCTAAATCATAAACTCTCCAAATCTCATCTTAATTATACTATAAACGTTAACTGCATTTTTAAACTCAAAACCAATTGATCAAAGTTTTGATACAGATAGAATTGTTTTAAATAAGAAATGAAAAAATGACGGCTTAAAACATAGACAAATTAATAACATATAGAAATCTACATACTTGAATAAGGGTGTTATGGCATAATGTAAGACATAAAAGTTGTTAACAAAGGAATTTTAAAGAATTAGTAAATTGTTTAGCCAAGTACGATACTATATTAAAAAATTATTTAGAAATAGGATCTAAAAATGCACAATAATCATATTCAAAATGATCTTATTTATTTGTTACATAATGTTCTTTAGAAAAATAAAATCTAATATGATTGTAAAATATCAATTATAGCAAACGAAACATCTGATGTAGGACACTTAAACAGTTCTTAAACTTTTGTTACAGTTAGACTAATAGAGATGCTCAATCTATATTAAATGCATTAACAAGTGTATTACTTCAACTATCAAAAAATTTGACATCTGTTATCTCAATTTGTTTCAATGGTAGAATTGAAGGAGTAGAAGCTAAGTGTAAAGTGGAAATAAAAATATTCTATATTTCAAGTGCAATGCTCACTATCTTCATTCAGTCTTAGTAGATTCCATAAGGGAAAAGGGAAATTCATCATCTAGTTTGAAAAATAATAAAAGTAAATTTAATTTTTTTGGTATCATAAAATTCATTTATAACTTTATTGGAGGAAATCCTACAAGATAATATTTCGTGACAGTATTTAACATATCATTAGATAAACTGATAAATGGCATTGATTCTAGGTTTGACTAGAAATCATTACTGTTACTGACTCTGTCCTTCACTTGTTTAAATTTGATAAATATAAATTAATAATTCTATGGGACTTAATGTAAAATTGGTTAAGTTCCATTAATAGTGAGATAAAGTAAGATCCATTAATGCAGGTAGTAAACCATACTTGTTTATGGGCCAAAGGGAAAAGCTAGCTAGGCCCTAACCAATGCAACAATGATAATAAATAAGACAAGGATAACCATAAAATAGTTTCAGTCAGCTCAGGACACCAGAGGGTATACCTACACCACCATGAGAAGGAGGAAAACCCGTTCAGTCATTTCTATTGTGTACTAATAACTGATAAATACAATTAAGTCTTGGCCCAGTTCTGGTATCAATACTAGCATTCACTCATAATTATAAATTGTCTTCCGAGTTATTTAAAATATTAATAAAAACAATGTGTAAACTTATAATACAAAATTGTTCATCTTCCTGTCAAAAAGCTGTGTCCGAACAGCCTATGACATTACAAATCATAAATTCAATTAGATATATGGTGAAATTGAAGACTGGTGAAAAAGTATTATAATAAATAGGGCTCGGAAGTTATAGGAGTTAAAAAAGGCAAAACATGTATGCAAATATACACAAAACAATTCTAAAATATGCATGAAAAAATAATAAATATATAATATAATTCAATCAATTATTCAACTTATAATTCAAAAACATATAGTATCATTATTAATATACACAAAAAAGATAAAAAGATTAGATTAGACTGAGGCAGTAAAAAATAACAATAAATAAGTTAAATAATAATATTAAGTTTTAAATTTAACAATATTTAAAATAAATTGGTTAAGAAAAAATCAATGAAAACTGATAAAATATACACTTTTTCTCTAAAATTACAAAATATAAAAAATATGCATTTTAAATAGTACATTTTAAAACTCTCCATCAAATAAAAAGTATTTCTATCGTAGTCTACTGTAAATTCAGTGCATACAGAAAAATATGCAACTCCTAACTCCCAACTGCTGAACTCTAATTATAAATGTTTAGAAGAACAATTTTATATATATGAAGATGATTTGTGCAGAGAAATAATATTATTACAAAATATATCAAACATTCAAAATGATACTTCAGTCCAAACAATTCCTAAATGGTTAGATTGGCTACAAGTTTTTAACAAAATTAAAATTTGTCTAACTTTTTTAAAGTTCTACAGTAGAGATCAGCCCAGTCCAGGATCAACCCGGACCAGGATCCAGGTTAGGTCCAGTCTAGTGCAGTCAACATGCTTTTCATATTCTTGGTTTAGATGTTCGGGTTTGAGACAGTCATAATAGGTTAGGTTTAGTTCAAATCATGTTTTAAATAGCACTGGAGTTTTTTGACCTTCTTGTATTTGGTCTGGGTTTTATACTTAGAAAAACTGTATTATTTGTCAATTTATTTATAATTATTTATAATTAGCATGTGTTCGTATTTCTTGAAACACTAGTCATGTCTTATCCCTTATAAAATATTATTTGCCATCAAAACAGGAAATTATAAAAACAAACATTGTTTATTATCAGATAACACTGTGAAATACTGAAATATGAATGTCTAACCAGTCCTGGTCAGAGTTTTACTAATAAATAAAAAAATCCTGGTTGGTTTTTTTTAAATATATAATCCAAATTAGGCTGTTCCAGACTTTTAAAAAATGTGTAAACTTGGTTTAAATTGGTCAGAGTTAAAAAATATATATTAGGAATTGGTCTAACCAGGTTAAACAATTAGTCTTAAATATTTGGTCTGGTCCGATTCCATTTTTATAGGACTAGGCTGTTTTCTATTCTACAATTATTTGTAACAATAGTTGTTACAAATTGTAATTATGACCACTGCTCTTCAAAAATGAATATTATAAAAAGTAAATTTGGAACAACAATAACCCAAACAAAAATTAACATTCAACAAATAATATGGAGGTCAGTAAAAACTTTAAAATACTAGATGACATAACACACACAATGGTGGTATAGCTAATATTTATACTAATTAAGCAATTTAATAAATTAACTGTTTATAAAAAATGTAATTTAATTATAATTTCCAGAAAAATTGATGAAATTTATAAATATATATTTGTGTGTTAGTGTGTGCAGTATAGGAATGTATGTGTATTGTGTATTAGATGTGCAGCACAACTGCAAGTGTAAAATAGGTTCAACCTTTAAACAAATATTTAAGGGTGATTTTAATAAATCATCAACAAATTAATTTTTAAAGGGCTGAATAAGCCATAGAATAAGATAGAAAGGATCTACATGACAAACTGACATATCGAGAAATCAATTTCATAAAATACTGGTTTGAGATAGACATATAAATTTTGTCCACTACGGCTACACAAAAAAATGTATATTATTTATTATTATTTTTAATTTTAATTTTTTTTTTTTTATATTTTAAATCTGTCTTGATGGTAGTTGTAAAAGAACAGTAATTGGTATAAACTATTAAATTGCATTAATTACTTTTAATATTAGAGTGTATGAGTCTATTATCAAAGATAAGAACAATATTTCTGAAACTTTTGTTATTTTTTATATTTAAAATTGTTAAGAGATAGTACTTGCTGGTATTATGTCCTCTTAACACTCAAGAAATTTTAATTTTTAATTAGTCAAAATATTCTAGAGCGTATTGCATTTGGACAAAATATTGGGTACTAGTAAATTTGTTTACAAAAAATCAACTGTTACTTATAGAAGCTCTTTCACACCACCATTATAATATTACTTAATTAGTACCTATTATAAAATATTTTCTAAATTTACATACCTAAATTTTGTTTGAAAAATAATAATACATCAGTATTTGTTTCAGATTTTGTACAATAGTAACATGTCTGATAAATATTTTGAATTAGGCTGATTTTGTGGACATTAAATTTCATCACTTTGTTAAACATAGTTGATTGTTCTAATAAGATTATTCAATGTCAATCTTTTATCTGTGAATATCATAAATAAGGTTAAATATTTAATTAAAATATTGTATGTTACATTGTAATTATAGCAAATTAATCATTATTTATTATTCATAATTTGTGGTTTACTATATTTAAATGTATTTATCAGATTTATCACTTACTATTTATTAATTAATTATTCTTTAATATCAGTCATTTTTATCACATTAAACTGCACTGCATAACTCAACTGGCTTTTATGTCTTTTATTCCTAGACTAGATTGATATCAACAGTTATTATATTATTAAATATAGGTACCATGATTAATTTAATTACTACTAGTTAATTACTTTCACAATGAACAATTGTTACACAATTGCAATCATTTGTTCAGAATTACAAAACCCATTCAAATGTGTTAAACTAAACATTTTAATCTAAAACTATGTTCATAGTTTATAACAAACTGTTTCTTATGACCAGTCACTTCTTTAATATCATTTAGATTTACCAATAATATACAAATCATGAACAATAAACAAATTACCAATAGTTAAATTATTTTGTATAAGTTCATAATTAAACACATGAAAGAAAAACGCAAAGATTAATAATTATAGATACACAGGTATCTAGGTAGCTGAGTATTAAAATGTTTATTGAAAGAATAACATATTATCTCATCGGTAGAATTGATAATAATTATTATTTTATAGAGTAATAATGATCAATTTTAATTTTAATAATTTTTTGTAGTTCTATAGAAACCAAATAAGAAAATAATCAAGTTTGAATACATCAAACACTTTATTGAGAATGTTAAAAATAATAAATATGATTGTCAAATAATACATAGTGCTAATTTTTCGTAATACTTACTTTATAATTTAAACTATTGTTTTTCAAATGCAATATTATAATGCGTATTGTAAATTAATCAACGGAGAAAATAAACGCTGCAAAACACATTGACATTGAAATTATTGTATAAACGATAAAACTTATAAATTAGAATCATGATTGAAGCACGTTAAAATAGATAACAATAAGACGGATGTTCCCCGAGCAATATTTGATAAGAGAGCCCAGTGGTTCCCAAAAGACGTAAAAATTGTTATTCAGGCGGTGAATAGACAATATGTAGAAATGGATAGTAATAAACAATCAATTTTTAAAATTTTAATGTTAAGTGTATTAAATTAAAATTTCTTTGAAAGTTTGAAACATAAAAAATAAAACTAAATAGTTTAAAAAAAATTTAAAAATGATTAATGAAACAAATTAAATTACAATAGGTACCTTGTCAATAATTAATAATATTATACAATAAAAAATAATTAAAATGTATTTATATTATGGTGAATGAACAAAAATTGATCAGCATTCTGAGACTAAAGTCTTTTTTATTTTGCTTCATACACTAATCCTGCCTCTGAAAAGTACCTTTCAGAGTAAACACTGGATGTTGGTGCTGACAAGTATTTTTGTAGAAGTAATTTATTTCCAATAAATTGGAAGACTTTCAAAATATGTTTTCCACCAACTTAATTAGATCGTTATCAATGGAAATACATGAGATTTATTTTGTTATTTGTAGAAGAAAAACAGAATTTGTTTAGAATAAACTGGCCATTGTGAATTGATAAATTGCACTATAATAAACTATATTTAATTATTTTAGATTTTTCCCATTATATTAATAGGTGTGCATATATTCATCTACATCAGATTATCAGTGTTTGCCAGTTACTGGATATGAGTTGAGTACTAATGTAGGTAGTATTACTATGTAAAAGTCTAGTGTTGAATATGGTATAGAATACTCGACCATCGAGTAATTTCCTGAACAAATTTTCTGAAACAAATTGATATTCAAAATATAGATGAATGACTTAGCTTCACTTATACAGTTATTATACTGTTTTTAATAATATTTAAATGTGTGAATACTATACATATTTACAAATAATTAAAGTATTAAAAGTTAGTCTTATTATATCAATCTATTTTTTTTTAATCCTTGCATATCTTGAGTCTTATAAACTACTTAAAGTAGGAGAAAATGGTAACTAGCCAAAACATTAATTAAAAAATGCAAGCTAATATACTTATGTATATTTTTATTAAAATTATTTAAGAATGAAATTATATTTTCTAATTTATTTTTGTCTTAGTTAATAAATTTAAGTCTGAAGTCTATTAGCCTGAGAAATTAGTGTTCAGCTGTACATGTGGTCACTGATAATATTGCTAATGTTTAAATTATTTAATAAATATTTGGATACATAATATTAAAGAAATCAAAATACTCTAAAATATTATTAGAATTCTTCACAGTTTGTAAAAAACATTGAGAGAAACATTTTAACTTTTTGATAAACTTGACTCATACCTTCCAAGTCTGCTTTATACAACTCTGTAAGTTTTTCAGTATAATTTATATTTTTTTCAAAATATATAATATATTGAAATCTACTAAAAATATGTTTGTGGTTAACAAACTGATCTTCAATGATTTAAAGGAATGTATCTAAGAACAAAATAAAAATTATATTTTTATAAATATTTTCAGTATCATTATAGGGAACATTCTATGTACTTGATTTTTAAATTATCTTGGTAGTTTTTATAGTTATATTATATTTCTTTAAAAAACAATCAATGCTATTTTTTCAAAAACTAAAACAATGTTATTCAGTTTGAAGTTTTTCAATTATGAAAAACATTTTATTCCAAAATGTTGAAGGGTACTTAAAACATTATTGTCATCTAACATTTTGGGGAGGATTGGGTGAACTCATTAGCTCCCCTGGCTATAGCACTACTTGTTCCTGAATCTCTACTTTGTCTATGCACATTTTTGCAGTACTCACATCATTGTCAAGTGTATCTAACTGTCTCCTTTTTGATCTTAACTCTTCTTTCTCTACATTTTAATAATATATTCAGATAGGTATATCTACCAATGATATAATATTGGTATATATATATATATATATTTATTTTTGTCAGAATGGTATTTGTAAAGTAAAACTCAAACTCTCCAAGAAATCTATTCCTAATAGGAAACTATTTTAGATATCTTTGAAACTTTTGTGACACCTGTTTTATTAGAAAAAATTGCTTATGAAGTGAATCATTACTGGTATCAATATAATATCCAAACACCAACTGCGTCTGGGTATAAAATACAATAATAATAAAATAAATCTTTGTGTGTGTAATGAATATATGAGTCATGAGTAGTACTCGTTGCTATTGAAAATATTGCACTTCAGCAGAAATGAGGATCAAAAACCTGGAGATCATCTATCAAAGGTTCGTATTCCATTACAAAACATAACTAATAATTTTAAAAATGCTCTGAACCCACTCGAAAACTTAGCAGTTGACGCAAGCTTTGTTCTATAGAAAGAACATCTATCTGACAGACAATTCTATAAAAATGAACCTTAATACTCAGGACTAAAAGTATTTGCTTTATGTAATGTACAAACAGATTTCATTGTTAATATACTTGTATATACTGAAAGCACAACAGAATATATTGAAATATATCCAAAACTTGGTATTTGTGGGACAGTGGTTAACACATTAATGGAATCTCACTAAAACAAAGGACACAAACTATTTATTGACAGTTTATATGTTTCACTGTCATTGGCTAGGTTTCTACAAGAAAAAAGTACCAATATGATTGGCCTCGTTAGAAAAAATAGTAATGATATGCCAAAATTCAAATTGAAACTGAAAACTGGTGATACTGAAAGTAATCATACAGACACTATACTTGTTATTAAAACAAAACATCCCACATATAATTATATGTTGACTACAGTTTGAAGACAAAATGGTTAATATCAACAAAAAAAGATCATCATGAACACCAGAGAACAAAACCATTATCCATGCATGAGTATTTTAATAATATGAGGATTATTGACAATTATGAAGTTTTGCTATGCCCATTAGAATGTGTATTCCAAAACCTTAAATGGTATAAGAACTATTTTTCACCTTATTGAGTTGTCTTTACTAAATGCATATTTTTCTTACAAGTCCATTACTGGAAAACACATTACATTAGCAGAGTTGCATGGCAATATAATTCATCAAATACTGAACAAATATTCTTTTAAATATGCTTCAAATAAATCAGGCCAAACTAGTGACTGTGTTCATGACATGTCAGGAATGTAATATCAGTTTGTGTCTAGTTTTTTATTTTGAAATTAATCACTTTCTAAAAAGAAATAAATTATAATTCATTTTTAAGTTTGATTTAACTTTAATAAATAAATACAAAGATTATCTGTGTACAAAATTATTCAGTGATTTGTATTACCTATCTTTATTATATATGTATCACATAGTTTATTTTTCATTTAAAAATATACTATAAATAACATTTATGAAATGGCTAATATCACAATGTGTTTTGCTAATATCCAACTCTTCAGTTTTACACTAATCTAGACATCTAGTTTTGTTTCACTGTTTATATTTAAAATTTAATTTCCATTTATTGTTCTACTATCTAATTAACATTTACTGTACTTTGGGTCTAGCATATATTCAATATAATTAATAAAAATAAAATTATTTATAACCAATGAAAGCATATACACAATTACACAATAATAACACGTTGAATAGAAATTTCTCATCCATTGTAAGTTAATGCATGTAATGAGGAAGTTTTATTACAATAAGATGTTTATCTAGGAATAGGTTAAATATATAATATGTATATTAAATATATATATTATAAGAAGAGAGTAAGAGAAGAGTATCATTTGTGTGGGGATGTTAGTAATACACCACTATTGTCCTTCAACCTAAACTAAAAAGTGAAATATCTCGTCAAAGAAATGACGGAAATTTAAAATTTAAACACCAAAATGTATTTAATTACTACTCCATCTATTTATGGAATTTTTAATATAGTTTGTCATTTGAAAACCAAAAGTAGGTAAAAATGGTTTACTACCAAAAATAAATAACATACATATCAAATTGTAGAGTAGATTGTTTCTGAAATGTTCTAAAAAACAAATTCTGGAAAAAGTTAATACTTTTCGAGATAATGAATGCTTAATGATAAATTGATCATCCTGTATTATATACATATTTACAAGTGCCCTACAGTGTTATATGAATAACTCTATCAGCTTTTTTATTTTTTTAATTGGGTTTTGGATCAATGAGACATATATTGAGAAAAATATTTTTATTAGAATAACACATTGCACAATAAGGAATCACAATCAACATGTTATTCATTATCTTATATTGAATATTAATTTTTTTTTACGTCAATTTTATAGAAATTAAAATGGCTGCTACTCAGAAACTGTAGATCGAATATGAATACCAGGATATAAATGCCAGGTGCATTTAAATTTTTAGAATAATATTTTTTTACAAAATGACTATTTTGAAAATGTTAAAAAGTGAAAAGTAGTCATTAAGAAATCAAAAAAAAAAATTATTTTTCTCTTCATATGACATATCCGATGACCCAAAACCCGATAAAATAAAAAATAAAAATAATAATAATTATAACTGTTATTAACGTTCAGATAGTGCAGATTTATTTGAAATTTAATCTTAATTAAAATATTTAATATATCACTAAATACAGGTAATTTCCATTCCCAGCAATTTTGCTCCAATTTAAGATAATAGCAATATTTGACTGGGGAGGTACTTTAGAGAGGTCAATTTTTTGATTTTTCCAAGTTTTCCAGGCAAATTTGAAAAACCAGGGAATCGGTACATTCAACAAATATTATTAAAGTAAATTAATTGTGTCTAATTAATTATTTAATTATAAAATTACATATATACATTAGTAAAATATTAAATTATTTTTTTTTATACTTTCCTACCAGCATTTTTGTTCAGATTTAGAATAATAGCACTCTTTCTAAAAGGAAATATGACTGGAGAGGTACTTTAGAGATGTATTTTTTTGATTTTCTCAAAAGTTTTCCCTGCAAATGAGAAAAACTGGGAAAACTGATACAATATTAAAAAAATATAAAAAGCCTATTTAATTATTTTACAACAAAATGACAAAAAATATTGTTGAAAAAGTATCACTATCAACTCAACTGCACTCACAATCATTTGTCATTGCATTAAATTCTCTTTTGTATCCTATTTATCCAACTTTCAACATACAATGGCTGCACCCCTGTGGGAAGAATGAGTCTTTTTATTTTACTCATAATGCAATTTGAGTGGAGAGACAGGTGTACAAACAGGGATAACTTATTTTGCATTTTTTGCAGAATCGTTTTTTCGTAAGCATTGGTTTATGGTTGCTACAAGTATACATTAAACTACCTATAACAGTGACTGCACTCGTCCCAATTATTCTAAGATGTCATTTTGAAACTTAAGTTCTAAAATTCTAACAAAATTGAATAAATTAAAAAAACAATATTGAAAATCACTCAAGTTATATATCATTATATACCTAGTATTTTAAATCTCTATCTACTATTTTGACTTAAAAGTATTTTAGTCTGTCAGATAAAATGTAAACTATTGGGTACTTAGTTTATTAGTGCATGAATATTAACATTTTAATAAATTTATATTATTTACATAGTAGTATATGGCTTTAGGTTGATAAGTAGCCTATAGCTAATAATATAGATTATTGTATGGAACTCTTTCACTTAAAGTTATAGTAGAATAATGGTTTGAAACATATACATATATTATATTCACAACAGAAATACATTTACTTATGTAATTACATAAATTGCAATAATTTTTATTACACATAATACATTTTAAATTTAAACAAATAGATAACATAATTTATTAACAAATTACTTTTCTTAATGTTACAAACACTGTTTTATTTTATATTCAAGTCTAAAATAAATAATTTACCATGGACAACATTAAAATATAAGGTCTAAATTAATTAGATAGGTACATGTTAAAGGAACTTGGTAGTTGCACTAACTCAAATATTTATTTTGATATTACAACTATTAGAATTAAACTCCAGTAACTCCTACAGGACACAAAATAGTTAATAGTTATCAGGTTTGAGTTTCTTTACTAAAAGCCTAACAAAACAATTGGGATTTAAAATATTATTATCATATTCAACAGACAAAATAACATTGATTTTAAACCTTTGTAAATATTTTGAAACCAACACTTTATAAATATCTTCATTCATTCACTCAGCCTTATTATTCAAATTTGTATATGATAATATGAATTATTATTATTTGTACACCTAAATAGTGTATGTTTTGTACCAAGGTTTTTATACAAAAATATGGTAAAATTTTCTTCACACTTACTTAAACTTAACACCCAAAACAATAAGAAATGGTAAATTAATTATTTAACTACTCACATAATAATTGTATTATACAGTTTAAATGTGTAGAATATTTCAAAAAAAAATATATATATATTAATATTTATATATAAGTATTTAATAGTAATAATAATAAATAATGAATGTTTATCTAACGAAAAAAATCACAATTGTCTTATTATAGTACAACATTTAACATACCAATTTTCTTTAGGATTCTATTCCAGAACATGGAAATAAAGTTAAAAACCTTTTAACATAATAGGTAACTCAAGTTTATTATAAACATAAGTATTACTTTTTTTGAAAATATAGACAACCTGCAATTACATTAAGATTCTTGAAATTACTATGCAGTTGATTAAATTTAGGATTTCAGTGTGAACAATTAATAACAGAAGTTTTTTAGTTTACGCACAATAAAATGAAAAACAAAAATGAATAATAATAAATAACATAATCCCTTACTGAGGTCACTAAATAAAATAAAAAGGACAAAAACTGGACGGTTAAATAATTTGCCATTGCAAATAATAAAAAAAAACCATTTTGGAAATTATAATAATATTAAGTCGAACAAAATTAACATTTCAATTTCATGAATACTCCAATAATCCATTGTATAAAATGTTATTGTGACATTCTATGCATAAGGTCATACATATAATGTATGGCCTAAAGTATGTAATTAGTATAATAATTACAAATATGAACAATTTTTGAAGAATGTGTAATATTGTTTTAAAAGACATAATTTTGGCTATCACAATATTTTAAATAGATCACATAAGACAATATATAAATAACAAATATTTACAAATATGCTGCTGAGACCAACAGCTATAATTTCAGTAGTTTTTGTGTATAAATTAAAGAAAAAACCAGAAATTTTTTGAATATTTTAATTTAGAAGTTTAAATAAAATTTCAGCTTGATAAAGTAAGACTGTAAGTCAGTAAACAAATAATAATATTGGATGAAATACATTCTTTACATTTTCAACTGTTTTAGGAAATAGTGGCGAACAATATATACAAGTTGTCCCATGCAGATTTAACAAATGTAAACTTTGTTCTATTCAATATTTTTAATTTTCTTTGTATATTTACTAGTCTTATGCTATAATTATTTAATTAATTTTTTTTTTACAAAATTCAAGAGTTATTAATAATTCAATTTTGTAACAAAATTTTGGTGTTATAAATAATCACATAATGATTAGTCAAGTTTCTATAATTTGTTGACATCTATTAAAATCATTTTCCATGGGAAAATTGGTAAATCAATTAATATTATTTACTGTTGGAAATAAAAACAATTTAAATTACCTTAAACAACAAAATATAATATAAATCAATTTATAATATTTTAATAAATGATTTTTAGGAACTTGACAATTTATCATTAGTAAATATTTGGAACACCAAAATTTGTATTCAAAATATATTTATAATTGAGGATATTATGTAAAAATTTTAATTTATAATTTTTTGTTTTTAAAAAAAATATAAAAAGTTAATGAATCTTGGTGCAGACTATAGTAATTATAATATACAATTTTTTTTTAAATATTAAGCAGAACAAAAGTTATGACATCTGTTCAATCTTTTTGATACTAGTATGCAGCAAAGAATAGATTTTTATAAAAGTTATTTTAAATCTAATTATATAGTACCCACAATTTTTTTTAATTTTGTGTAGTATTGAAACATATTTAAAATCAATTTCAAAATAAATGATAAATATTCTACTTTTTATAATTTTTGTAAATATTTTATACTCTAAATAACATAATTTTATATTGTTTGCTGACTGACAAGTTCTAAAATGTTTAGGAAAATCTATAGATAGAAAAATCAAATGTATAATGTATAATATATATATATATATATATATATATTTATACATTATACTATATTTTAGATTCCTATCTAAATATTAAATTTAATGCTGTCTAAAAGTTTACTAGACTAGAAATTATCAAATTGAGAGGCCAAAGTCTCTGCGTTAGTAGGAGAAGGACCTTGAGAAAGATTATGGAACATGTTAATAGGTTGATCAGCAAAGGATGCAGACATAGTTGGTTCCTTGTTGATGACCCCACCATCTTCATTGGTAGATTCATTGGTGTTTGGTTCCTCATTATCTCCCAAAATTTTTAAAGCTATCACTAGATCTTGTAGAATTTCAGTTTCCCGTAGTTCAATTAATTGGTAACGATGGTTGAATACCGACAAGTGAGCAAACACACAGTTTAAATGCGAGTGCAGGTTCAGTAGTACTAATTCACGAAAATGACTGTGATAAAGATGTGCTAAAACGTGAAACAACAACCTTAAAATCTTTCTTACCACAACCTCAAACCCAACAGGAAATTCATTAGCTGTAACAAAAATGTGAGATAAAAATAATTAGTGAATTCTTATTTAAGAATACATTATTTGTTAGTACATAATATATTAGTTCAAACATACCATATTTAGTCGGAAAAATAGTCTCATCATTGATAGTTTTTTGAACATATGTCATGACATAGTCTATGTATAGGGGAGCAGCAACTCGAGATTTTTTCCCTTTTTCATCAAACCACAAATAGGTTCTAATAAATACAAAACCATTTATTACATTTTACATCATAAGACATGATACCAGAAATATAGGTAATTAATAAAGTTATTAGCTATCCACCATGTTCGACAAATTTTTCAAGAGCTGTTAATATTAAATATTTTAAATTTTTATTTCCATCCCCCCAAAAAATAAAAATAAATAACTTTATTTATTCACTTTATAAAATTTTCAAAATAGCCATTTTGTTAAAGATATTATTCTAAAAATGTTAATGTACAACACATTCATATCCGATAAATAATTTCTTAGTAATATCTGTTTTAATTTCTAGAAAATAAGTATGAAAACAATTAATATTCAATAAACTATTGTTGCGATAAGGAATTATTACTGAATATTAATTGTTTTCACCAGTTTTATCTAGAAATTAAACCAGCTGTTGCCAAGAAACTATCAGATATGGGCAGTTGTTGTGGGAATCACTGTAAATAACTAAATAACTTGTATTAAAACTGCCAGTTAGTTATACATTAACTGAAGAATGGATTGCTGTAACCAATACTTTTATGGACACTGAATCAGACAATGTAAGAACAAACCTTAAAGGCACTTTTCTGTTATTATAACTTCTGATCAGTTCTGACTACCACAACTACCAAACTACTCTGTTATCTCAACTATCAAACTCCAGAAAAGTACCTTGTAAATTTAAAATACTTATATGTAATGAACTTAGCCAAAATAAATAAAAAGTATTTTTTTTTTTTTCATTTTTGATAATTATTAAATTACATACTAATTATTAAGCAATATTATTAATAATATTTATAAACAGTAAAAATCTCTTATAACATGTATTGTTAAGTTATTTATCAACAATTTTTATTTGCAATTACTAATTTGTGAGATACCTGTAGCTTGGTCCTACCATATCCGGACATCCCGAAATAGTACAAAATTCAGACACAGTTCCATATATCAAGTTGGTATTGTCAAAAATTGAAATTGCTAAATTCAAATAACACCATTATTATTGTAAAATAATAACAGCTGAGTCTCAAATATTTACTATGAGATGCAAGCCACTCGTTGTAATCTATTCCATTTGGTATTTCAACTAATATTCGAAGATCAATGTCTGGTAACTTTTTTTCCAATACAGCTTCTTCCAAATACATTTTGTTATCATCGTTACATAGGGATTCCTTATCTTTGGTCTTTCGACCTTTCCTAAAAACATATGAATAATATACATATTTGTACAGTAAACTATGGAATTTAATTATGTTTTATTTTATTAAATAAAATACAATACAGTTCAACAATGCAATATTATCCAACTAGTATAATAAGTATATTAGAAGTAGACAAGTATCACCATTTTTTAATAATATTGTGAAGTCTGACACAACACACACACATTAGGTATATTTAACAGAGGAATCTTCTCAGAAAAATGATTTTTATAAGTACCTAATTCAATTTTTACAAAATCTACCTGGGAAATTTAAACCAACTAGTTTTACTATTCATATTTGTATTAGAAATTTCATCAGACTTTTTTTTAATATATTGTTATTAATTTTTTTCTATGTTAGTCAGCTTAAAAATTGTCATAGTGCAATATTATACAGTATTATATTTATATATTAGGGATGGTGGTTCTTATTTTATAGAAAATGGCATGACAAAGTTTTTTGTAAACTGAAAGAAAATTTAAGCTTAAATTTAAAAATATTTCATTATTTTATAGATTTTCTCAGAAAATTATAAATTTACGAGAAATTTTGCCAAGACGTTTTGATGTAAATGATACGTTAAATAATTAAATTTGAAATACAACACTCTTTGGTCATTTATCAACTCTTTTTCGACACATCAAGTGGTTGAGCTATCATCACAACATTTTACCAAAATTACTTTCTTATTATTGATGAACAAAATAGAAGGAGGATACCTAATCAAAATTATACATCTATTTTTTTCTTCATCTATAAAATAAATAAATAAATTTAAAAAAATTGTAACCTAGGCTCTAATATCTTAAATATTATCAACCATATTCAATATTGTAGGTACCTACAATATCCCAGTGTGTCCATTGATGAACATTTTAAACAATTTTAAAATTCCAAATCAAAAAACAAAGTTAATTCATAATTTTCATGTTTTATTAAATATGTTAGACATTGTTATTTTAGTTAAAAGAGAAAATTTGTTTTATAAAACCAATACCCACAGGCTATAGTGAAAACTGTATAAGTAACATGTTTAGCAGATACCAACCTAAATTTAATGTTTTACAGTATTCTATGGTTGATAAATTACACTGTAATGATAACAAATACATTATATTATTATTTTAAATTAAATTAACAAAAAATTGTGATTAAGCTAACTAATTAGGTAGGTATTGACACTAAAAAAATTAAAATTACATTAACAGTAGAGCTCATCAATAGAGTTAAATTTTTTTCCAACTGACTTGTTGTAATATTTTATTCTCCACAATTATATTTATATATATATATATATATATGTACACATTTTAATTTCCACTTCAACCCGGTTAATTTTATTTTTAAACCTGGTATTTCTTATGAAAATATAAAATTTTAACAAAAAAAAAAATGTTTGGGGTGGGGTTGAAACAATCAAAATACACATTCTTGTTACTCATACAAAATCTGATCTTCCTGGCTTCATTTGGGGAAAGGAGGGGTCTGTAAGGGTGTACATAACTAACAAATCACCCTAATCCCCCAACAACATGGTGAAGTTCATATCTAAATTCTACCAAAATTGCATGTCTTTAATTCACCAATGAAATAATTCTAATTCCAGAGTTAGAACTCAATAATTAAGTTTATACATATAATAAATTATATTATATTATTTATAATAAATATAATATGTTCTGAGCTGTTAAGTGTTCAAATGTACCAAGAAAAAGATATAACAGGCATGATCTCTATATTTTAAATGATCTTTGGAACTACTCAACCAATTATTATTATCATGCGGTTTTTTTTTTTTTTTGATGATAGAGTACACTGCATTAAAAAACAATAAAATTATACATTTTTTTAAATAATCGGCAAATAAGCTAGAATTGTCAATAATAAGTCTACACTATTTAAATATTCTGGGAAAAAACAAATTTGCCAAGATTTTATTCTTATTTGGTGGACAATAGGAAACCATTTTATTGCAAGGGTAAAACTAGATATAACAGCCAGTATATTATACAATAGACATAATACAGTGCAATGCTGTAGTCCGGCCAGTAAGAGAATGCTACTCCTCCACACATCTAATCAAACAAGCACCAGGGTTTTGTGACCAAATTTCTGCTACTCTACTTCTTACTCGCTGTAGGAATGCGCGAGAACAGACAAATTTTGCAATATTTTGCGATATTTAGCGATATCTCGCCGGCCAGACTGTAGTAGTATTTTTTTTTCAGAAAAAATTAAAAACAAAAACCAACAATGTCCTTGTTTTAAAATTAAAAATATTTTATATAACGCGTAATATTATGTAAAGTAATTTATTGTGGTATATTCTTAAATTATATTTTACTTTGATGGGTACTTCATAAAAATGATTCTTTTAAATAGCACAAATAAACAAATAACTGCAAATAACCACCTATACAATTGATGGTCTTTGGTAAATTACTTTTCAAAAGTAATAAAATTATAGTAATTTACATACTTTAATATATAAGCATTACACTTTTATTAGCTCACATATTTAGTTTAATTACTAATCTATTTACTTCTGAAACTATAAAGTAATTCAATGTACCTAAAGACAATTAGAAAATAATAAAGGTACCTAATGAAATTTATTTCATTAAAATAACAAAACATAATATAAGTATTAGATAAACTTTTAATAATTATAATTAGTGCTCAAATTGGCAGAAGATGTAAGCGGACGAAGTCTACTTTCACTGTATCATAATTTAGCCGTACCGCTTCATTTAATTAATCAAGGAACGCTTTCATTAGATGATTCTGTCTTTATTTGTAGATCCAGTTCAACTGTAAGCATTATTATTGTTGTCCCAAATACAAATTTAGATCAATAATGATCTGACTTTTGGAATTGGGAAAAACATTTCATGTAAAATAAATTATGTCCAAACACTCAAAGATAACAGGATAGATCACCCATCATTAGGTTGTTAATTTTCTTATTTTTCGAACCACTTTCCGAAGACATAAGATTGAAGTGAGCCTAAAATTCTATTATTATTTTTTAATAAAAAGGTATTAATAAAAGTTATTTTTTACATTTTTTTATTGTAAAATTAATTCCCTACACAATTCAGGCACTGTATGTAATAATATACCTATCTACTTGTCATGTTATTATTAAAACCAACTTTTTTTCTTTCTATTTATATAGATTAAGTACTATACTAGGTATTTTAGTTTTTAAAGTAACGTATTACAATTTCCAAAATTACTGTTAACAAGTAATAATATGATTAAATTAGACAATTTTGTTACAGTAAAAATAATGTAAGTTTAGTTAGACTAGACAGTAAAATTGACGTAAGTTTAGCCAAAGACTAGGTAGGTACTAGAAAAAATAAAAACTTCAAAAATTAATCTAATATTTATTAGGTAAATACATAATATAGTGATTACCGCTTATAATGATCACATTTGTCTGAGAGTATTTTGATCACTATAAGCAAGGGCTTGAAAAACAGATAAAAAAAATAACCGAAACATAATACGTTAATAATAATAACAATAAAATAATATTAATATAAGTATTTACATAAATAAATACAAGGTGATTTAGTGTGTGCCATTTTTAGTTAGTTATAATTTAAAATGTAAAAAAAAATAAAATACATACAAATTGCGTTATTTATCTAAAATCACTGGTCACAAACTGGAATTTTTTTTTATAAATACCCTAATATACATTATATGATCCATTTAAGTGGGTACACTTGTTATCTAGATAAGTATTAACTTTTTCCGGAATTTGTTTTCTTGAACATTTAAGAAACAAGCTGCTCCACAATTTTATATTTGTGTTATTTTTTGTCACCCTTATTTTTGGGTATAAAACAACTAACTACTTTTAATTTTCTAAGGACAATGTATATTAAAAATTAATATTAAATATGTTAATATACAATATAAACAATATATTAATGTTAAATAATAGTGTTGACATTTTTGATTTCTGTCAAAATGTTAACTAGATATTCCACTTTTAAGTTTGGGTTAGAAGAGGGTAGTAATGTTTTATTAACCCGCCATCCGCCGTACCGCCACACAAATGATCCTTCACTGTTCTCCTCCAACCCAAACATAAAAGTGGAATATCTCGTAAACAAATCAACGGAAATTAAAATTTATTTTAACTAATAATCCATCTATTTATGGGACTTTTAATATAAGTTGCCATTTGAAAATCAAAAGTAGGTAGTGGTTTTACACTCAAAAATAAGGGTGACAAAATATATAATTGTAGAGATGTAAAAATGGCAACTACCTACTCTGTGTCAATATCAATATAATCACATAGATACAAAAACTAATAATCAAATTATTCTAAAAATTACTTAAATGTAACCTAAATATTTAAAAAGTCGCACCCACATATTGTGACTTGAGGAAATATGCTAAATACTTATCTATTATCACAAAATATGAAATGAAAAAAAACATTATTGAAAAATTATAAAATAATAAGGTAACTGGGTATAATTAAGTAATTAAATTTTTCTTTAACACCCAGTTTGTAAAATTATTTAACAGTCATCAAAATTAAGATACAACATTTCTGTTCAAATATCGTTACCCAGATAACGTTACACATGAACCGAATTAATGAATTTTAATAAAAAATAATAATGCGTTTTAATTAGACCATTGATTTTCGTTGGTTACGTATGTACCTACGTCAATAGTATATTAATACGTAGTCATTACGCCTAATAAAAAAGAGCATTGAGCCTTCAAATAACGGATACTCGTCGGTACTCACCCCATAAACCAGTCCACGGTGTCGCGGAGATACTCTGGTAACTTGTCCAGTTTGTCGGTTGCGTCTATGCGTCCACCATTCGAATACGGGTATAACGATTAAAATTAATAGTACGATAGGAGCAGGCGAGTGCGAGTAGACGGACGCCAGTCACCACAATGTTGGTAGCGGATGGGACACGATACGGTGATCAGGTGGACATGTTTCGTATGGCGGGCGGCGCGAGCGGACCGTATTGCGTTTTTTTTTTTTTTTATATTTTACAACGGCGCGACGACTACGTCGTTACGACGGAGGCGGCGACAACGACGACAATCGCGTTGTTCCGGTAGCGAACAACAAACAGCGCATCGCAAACACCCTGCTATCGAACCGATAATGAACATTTAGTTTGAATATAAACCGTGTGTAAAAAAATTATTGTCGACCGCGGCCACCGTTTTAGTGCAGCAAACAGCAGCTGCTGGTAATAGGTAACGCTATACAATCAAAAGAAAACGTTGGTGGGCTAGGTGGGCGGGCTGGAGGAGAAAATAAAACGCCGAACGTTATCACTGCACCGTAAAAAATCCGCGGGTACCTGGTAGATAAGAGCTGGTCGAGCGGGGGAGTACGTACAAAACTGAATAATATTCACTTCACCACCTCACGGCTCGCGACAAATAACGATTTGCGGTAAGCGGCGACGAGTAGGTTTTTCGTGTTTTGGCCGACGGTGACGGCGCCTGCGCAACGGTCCAAATAAAATATTCCTCGTATTATTATTATTATTATTGTTATTAATGTTGTGTATAACACTAATGACGCGCGTGTATAATACCTACATAATATGCGTTCTGCCACTCACCCGCCCGTCACCGTACCCATATCACGATTCCCCCCCTCCCGACATACATATAATAATCATATTATTACTTATCTAATATTTATTTTGACCGGGTCGTTGACGCTATACGCGCTGCCGTCCGTCACACTGCACAGGTTATGACGACAATAGGAATAAAAGATAACAAAACAAAAGAAAAATTCTTCCCACAACTATCCGACAATATTGGAAAGTGTATTATTAGGTAGGCAGATACCTAGAGTTATACTATTGGAGGTTTATGACGAGGTAAAGAGGAATGGAAATTAAATATATTTCGAAATTGAACCTTGATATTCAGGACATTTTAATTAGCATTATAAAAAAATGTCACCTATAATAGATACCCATTGTATACCTAGGTACCTGCTGAACAAAGCTGGTTGGTGGAAATAAACGGGTTACTGATACACAATAATGCAAATATCGCATACATTTTGAAGGAGAACCTCCTCCACATAATTTTGATAATGTGTACTTATATTTACTTGACTTGGAGACTGAAAATCCCCCGCCCCCCCTATCATGTATGATCCAACAAATACAACTAACGAAAGGGACTAGGACAAAAAGGATCTATACTTTGTCAAAATTGATTTTCCGACTAGTTTCATGATTTTTTTTTTTTTGGTATTTCCTTGTTAAACTCAAGGTTGATGCCTACTGCATGTTCATACTACTTATACGTGTGACCTATATTTTTAAGTAATTATTCGAGAAGTTTTTAAAGGAATTATTTTCTACACAGTCAATGTTACTATGAAAGTTATAGAAAATGCTACAAATATCAGTCAAAAAAAGACTTGCAAGATACTTTGCAAGATGGCCACTGTTGTCGGTGAAAAATTGGGAAGATAGGATATAGATGGGAATTTAGTGTATATCTATATTAAACGATTAATCTTTGCTAAGGAAAAACGATTCTAAACGGAGTTCAGCTATACATATTTTAAAAGGCAGTAATATATTATGTACATCCTTATCCGTTTGTAAACATAACTAACTGTAAGTATATATGGCAGATTAGAATAGGAATAGTCTTTTGCAAATCGTTAAAAAATAATGGTTTACACTAGAATTTACCAAGTTTTGGCAAGAAGTAACGATATGCTACCTATGTATTATTTAATAATCTTTGAGATAGATAAATCAATTTTTAGAATAAATAAGCGGACTATATAATACGCATAATTGGGTTTATTTTATAAAATATAAAAAATATTTTAAAACTCGAATGGTTATACCACCAGTGACCATTTCTTGAAAATTTATTATAATATTGTTGGTATAGTTTATTATTGCTTACAGGTGTCAGGTACACATTAAATTATCTCTAACAGTGGCTGCACCCATCCCCATTATCCTAGGACGTCTTTTTTTCTTTATCTATAAAACAAGGACCATCCTAATATATATATATATGTATACAATATATCTTTAATTAGTATCTAAAAATGTAAATTAATTAATTAATTTTTGATTTTAAAATAGCGATCTTCTTCCCTTTGTAACATAGATCCGAAAAAATAATACCTACTTATACCAATTATGTTTCTAACAATGTTGATATTCATTATAACACTAATATTGAATTTATCGTTTTCACGTGTTCTAACAGAAAGTTTAGTATGTTTAGAATTTAGACCGGAGGAGTAGATTATTTCTTTTCATTTCTGAAAGAAAATGTTATCCTGATGGTACTTTTAGGAGGTCATTTTTTGATTTTCCATGTGATTTTCATAATACCTGGGAAAAACCCGAGTAAAAAGTAAGAAAAACGGGAAATTTACGAAAATAATGCTTTTATTATGTTTCAATTTCGTTATTTGTTGTAATTCAGTTAGAAATATTCGTAGAAACTTGAAATTCGGCCAGAAAACTTATATTTGTCTTTCCTAGGCATGGTAAAATTTTCAAAAAATTTAAGCCATTTTTGAGGTATGTATAAACATTTTGATTTTACGAGTTTTATACGTAATTTTTATTTGGTAGGTACATTACGGTAAAATTATTAGACATAACATAAATGCTTGAAAATTTAACAGGAGGTTCATTAAGAATTTTACTTTGTGGTAAAAAAATATGGATTGAATGCTCCGATTTACAATGATGGCTCTTTTTCTGAAAGTAAATCTGACTAAGAAGGTAATTTTTAAATTTTCACAAGACTTTTCCAAGCAAAAACTTAGAAAAAATGGGAAAACCAGGAAAAACGTGAGGAAACCAGGAAAAGCGTAAGTAAAACGTGAAAATCGGTACATTAAACAAATATTATTAAAGAAAATATAGAGAGCCTGTTTAATTATTTTACTATAAAACGACATATATATTTTTGACAAACCATCACTATCAACTCAACTGCACTCAGAACCGTTTTTTCGTAAGCAATGGTTTATGGTTGCTTACAAGTGTACATTAAATTACCTATAACAGAGGCTGCACCCATTCCCATTATCCTGGACGTCTTTTTATTATTTATCAATTAACTATTACAGGTTTTGATATTGTATAATTTAGGTGTGCCGAATTCTGGTGATAAAAGAAATAAAAGTTTAATGTAGTTAGACTGATCAATGATAAGAAAACGTATATCTAATATTTAACGAATTCTTCTTTACAATTTTATTTATTTTCATAATACTAAAAATAACTAATAAAAAAAACGTTCTATGCGAGTGCAGCTACTGTTACAGATAATTTCATGTATACCTGTAAGCAACAATAAACCATTGCTTAAGAAAAAAAGATTCTTAGTGAATACTGAAGTTTATAGTGATGCTTGGTCAACAATATATATGTCATTTTATAGTAAAATAATTAAATAGGCTTTATATATTTTCTTTAATAATATTTGTTTAATGTTTTACCGATTTTCCCAGTTTTTCTATGTTTTTCCCGGTTTTACCATGTTGTATCTCGGTTTTTTACATATGATAGGGAAATTCTAGGGAAAATCGGAAAATTACCTCCCTAATGTACCTCCTTACGCCGATTTCCTTTCAGATAAGGTGCTAAGTAGAAATCCGAGGAAGTCTACAGGTAGAAAAGTTGTGTACATCTTTGTAAAACTAGTTTTAACTATTCGCTCCACTCAGAATCTAAAATATATTTGTGGTAGATTAACTACTACACCATTGTAGTAATCTTTCTCAATCTTTTTTCTTCCACAACCTCTTGTAGATTTTCAAAAAACTAACGGTTCCTTCCAATAATTTAAAAATTACTATTAAAGGTTATAGTTATAGGTAACTCAGGTTAGAATATTCGTAGAGACTTGAAATTTTGACAGAAAATGTATAGGTATTGGTATGGGTTCAGGTATTTTGAATCTTGTTACCTGTTGTAATTAAGTTAATAATGTTCGTAGAAAATTGAAATTTGGACAGATAACTTTTATTTGCCTTTTCTAAATATGGTAAAATTTAAAAATATTTGAACCGTTTTTGAGCTTTTTATACAAATTTAAATTTTTTGTTGAAATTCAGTTAAAAAATATTTGTACGGACTTTATGGTCTTGAAATTTGGATAAAAAACTATATTTGTCTTTTATAGACGTGGTAAAGTTTTTAAAAATGTTTAGCCATTTTTGAGCTATTTATAGACATTTAAATTAAACGAGTTTTGTATTCATTTTTATTTGGTAGGTACATATAAATTGTTTCAATATATATTTATTTTACTATAATATTACATATTCTATATTGTTGAAAGAGCAATACTATTAAATGAGCTCGGATCGGAATCGTTTTTTGTTGAATGTGTCACAAATAAATCTTTATTTCTTTACACAGAAAAACTGTCGAATATATTCGTACCTAAATTTAGTTTTTGAACATAAAAGTCTTCAGTTTATTTTATAAATTATGTAATAATTTAGCAACTCTTAAAAAAACCGGTCCACCGGAAAAATTTTCCAATATGATAACATTATTAATAAGATGTCCTCACCCATTAACAGGATATTGTAGCTCCTCCAGTCCATGTGAATACAATTTGTATTGAGATTACGGTTACATTTATTAGCATAATATATAATCAAATATTTGTAAGTATCTATTTAAATAAGAATGAATGTATGTTTGTATGTCCTTTATAGACTCGAAAACTACTGGACCGATTTTAACGGGGTTCTTTGCAAAATGTTCCGCGTGATCTGGAGAATGTTTATAGCTATTGAAATATCTAAAATTCAACCTCTGAAGGATAGCTGACACAGGGATTTTGGTGTTTTGTGATATTTTATTCTTTTGTTGATTGGGTTACCTTGGTAACAAAGTAAATATTATTATTTTTATTGATTATGTGGTATCTACTGAATATTGTTTGTTAATTAAAATATGTCCGGTAATTCAGCTATAAAAAAAAAATTAAATAAAAATTAAAAAAATCTAGCAATAGCAAAGCATTGCCGGAGCAGTTAGTATTTTAATAAAACTCGTAATTATACGCGTAATAATATTATTATAATAATAAATGTACCTACACCTAAAATACAGCTTATACGTTAAAGAAAAATTGTACAACCTACGACTTAATTATTATTAAATGCTTATGACGCATTAGTACATGTGTTGTTTAAACAACAATATTAATAAACATTAATTATTTCGATTGTTTATAACTATTTCTATTATATATTATTTAAGTATATCTACTCAGTACCCACCTACTACTTTTTTTGTTTATGTTTGTTTTTTATAATAACTCAAATTATTATAATAGGTTTACACAAAATTCATTAGGTCTGGGAAAGGATACATAAAGTTTTATAATTTATTCTTGTAAGCGATAAAAAATAACTTATAAAAAACGATTTGGAGCGAAATTCGGTTATACATGCTTTGAAAGGCCGTAATATGTACGATTTTCGTCAACATTTGATTTTAAAACTCGTAAAAAAAAAAAATATTTATTGCACTTAATTTTTTTTTTTGACCACTAAGTAGGACTTATTTGAACCTAGGAGCTCCTGTTAAATTTTCAAGCATTTCAATTTAGTCTAACAATTTTATCCACAGAGTACCTACCAAATAAAAATGATGTAAAAAACTCTCAAAATTAAAATGACTATAAAATTGTGCATTTTGTTTAAAACTTTTGTTGTATTTAATTTTTTTTATATCTATTTCTCGTGTATTATTGATTTTTTTCGATATTTTATTTTATTGAGGTAAAATGTATAACAAATATTAGTTAAGAACCATAATTTAATTATTTGGTTTTTTTTGTTTTGTTCCATTTCTGGTTTTATATATAATTCTTTGATTTTTGACTTCTGGTTCTGTTGTTTTTCCGTACTTCGTAGTTTCACATATTTCACATATTATATTATATTTCGTCTTTTTCGAAAAACTTTATCAGGAACCAATTCAGATATAATATGCCAGCATGATAACTAAAATATAGGAAACTAATTCGGATGAACTCTTACGTAAAAACTCGGGAACCAATTGTACATTTGTACATTTTTAGGCAATATTTAGACGAATATTCAATAATAATATATTTCACTTTTAAATCATTAATTTTATTATGCTCCCGTGTACGAATTTTGTATAAGTTAACTATCACTTGTTTAAGAATATTAGATATAGAGAAGTGTAAAAGGACACCTGAATACCAGACAAATGTATCAAGCATTTGAAGTCTCGAAACAAGTACAATAACAAGTTTTGTAAATAAATACGTAATAATACGAGTATAATTTTTTATTCATACCTATTTTAAACTTATTAGTTATTACTTACTGATTGGCTACTTTTTGTTAAAAATTATTATTTTTATCTAACTAGTATTAATTAATAGGCAGTAGTAAGTAGGCAATTATTATATTATTGGTTGCTAATAATTGGTTATTAACTAATTTATATTATAATTTGAAACGTGATTTCATGTTTCACACTTTTTTTTTTTTTTGAATTTATTTCACTTACCTATTATTATTAGGTATAATATTATTTAAAATATTGAATAATAACTAGTTGGTTTAATAATATACATATAAATTTAATGTTCCTCCCTGTTGGTCGGGGGTAGAATAGGCCATCGGTTGTTCCTGCCTGTCGTAAAAAGCGACTAAAAGGGACTTGTAGGGGGGCAGCAGCCTCTACAATACTGGGTGTAGGTGCAGGTAACCATAGAGTTATGGTAGAAACAGCTACACACCGGATAAAAGTCGGNGGAGGTAAAATAGTTCCCCAATCGGATCCCCGGGTGGGAACTACCCTGCACGAGGTACAATTGGTAAATCCCTGTAGGAAGATGAAAAATAGGATGATAGGGACATGGAACATAAGAACAATGCGACAAATAGGCAAGTTGGAAAATATTATAATTGAAATGGAAAGAATGAAATTAGAAATACTAGGTTTATGTGAAACAAGGTGGCCAAACAGCGGAGACTTCTGGTCAGAGAACTATAGAATAATTCATTCTCAAGGAAAAAACGGACAATGCGGAATTGGTGTAGTGTTTCATAAAACCTGGAGAATAAAGGTTACAAATTATATCATATACAGCGAAAGAATTATTATGATTTAACTGGAAGCAGAACCAAATAATCTTTTTGTAATTCAAGTATACATGCCTACGTCAAGAACTGATGATGAAGAAATTGAAGAGGTATATGCTGGTATAGAAGAACTACTAAAACTCACAAAAGGAAAAGATAACGTTATTATAATGGGGGACTAGAATGCTGTTGTAGGTGAAGGAAAAGACGGTAGAGAAGTGGGAAAATATGGACTAGGTCAAAGAAACGCAAGAGGAGACCGATTAGTGAAATTTAGCAGAGAAAACAGTTTCGTGATTACGAATACGCTATTCAAAGAACACAAGAGAAGAAGATACACATGGAAAATACCCGGCGATACAGAAAGANACCAGATTGACTATATACTAGTAAAGAATTGGTTTAAAAACCAAGTCAAATCCTGCAAAACTTATCCTGGAACAGACTGTGACAGGGACCATCAATTAGTGGGTATGAAATTTTGTGTAAAACTAAAAAAAATCGTAACTATAATCTCTAAGAGCTGAAAAACGTGGAAGTAGTTGAAGATCTAAAGAAAAACATAGAAAAAATATACAACAATAAGGATAAGCGAAAAGAACCAATAGACAAAAGATGGGAAAATATAAAAAGCGCTGTAATAAACGCCTCAAGAACCACACTAAGTGTAAAAAGAAAAATACCTAGTCAGGAATGGATCACCCCAAATATCTTAGACCTAATTGAGGAAAGACGAAAATACAAACATCGGACTGACATAGAAGGACAACTAAAATACTGAAGCATAAGAAACCGTATAAACAGAGAATCAGAAAATGCAAAAGAATAATGGCTAGAGCAACAATGTGCTGAAATAAACCATCTTTTTGCAACAAGTAGGCTAGATCAAGCCTATAGAACCATTAAAAGTTTCCTCAAAACAAATAAAACTCGCAATAATAATATTAAAGACAAGAATGGTAAATTGCTCTTGGATACAAGAGGGGTGGTAAACCGATGGAGAGAGTACCTGGAAGAACTATATCAAGGGGATGAGTTACAAGATATCAATGAAGAAACTGATGAGTGCTCTTATGGTGCACCGCTACTAAGAAGTGAATTTAATGCCAGTCTTAGAGATCTGAAAAATAAAAAAGCCCCGGGAATAGATGAAATCCCCGGAGAACTACTACAAAATGCTAGTGAAAGCATAATAGACGCGATGTACTATCTTATGAAAGATATATATGAAACAGGAGTAATACCGAAGGACTTTTGCAACAGCAGAATTGTAACATTACCAAAAAAGAATAAAGCTGACTCATGTACAGATTTTAGAACTCTGAGCTTACTCCCCCACGCCTCAAAGATACTCATAAAAATTATATATCGAAGATTTAATAAAGCCAACCAATATCTTGGAAATGACCAGTATGGATTCAGAAAACAAAAGGGAACTAGAGAGGCAATTTTAGGACTTCGGATCTTAATAGAAAAACCAATATCTCGAAATAAAATAACATGCTTATCATTTATAGATATCGAAAAAGCTTTTGACAACATTGATTGGAAAATTATGTTCTCAATAATGAAGGAAATAAATTTAGATTTTAAAGACAGGAGAATTATATATAACCTCTACAAAAATCAAAGCGCAGAAATTAAAATAAATAATAAGTCAGCTAGTGCGAAAATACGTAGAGGTGTAAGACAAGGGTGTCCACTTTCACCATTATTATTCAACTGCTACATAGAAAAAAGTATTATGGAAGTTAAAGATAAACTTAACAGGCTTGGGATTGGAATCAAAGTGGGTGGTATATTAATTCCAATGATCCGGTTTGCAGACGACATCGTAATACTAGCAGAAACAGAGCACGACCTTCAGAGAGCTCTGGAAGAAATGCAAATAATTATAAATAAGTATCAAATGCGTATAAATTCAAGTAAAACAAAAATTTTAGTTTGTGCTCGTGAACTCACAATTAACGCAAATATTTATTTAGAAAACCAACTTATTTCCCAAGTTTCTAGCTTTAAATTTGGGAAGTCTAATAACATCAGATGGAAGAAGTTCACAGGAAATTAAACAAAGAATCGAGCAAGCAAAAACAACTTTTATCAAGAAAAAGAAAATTTTGGTTTCGAAAAAAATTAGCAGAGCAATAAAAGACTTTTTCAAAAACGTTTGTATGGAGTGTCGCTTTATACGGCTGCGAGACATGGGTTATTAATGAAAAGGAAAAAAGATCCCTGGAAGCATTTGAAATGTGGTGTTGGAGACGAATAGAAAAAATAAACTGGACATAAAGAGTTACAAATAAAGATGTATTGACCCAAGTTGGAGAAACAAGATCCTTAATTAAAGCCATAAAGCGACAACGATGGGACATGATGGGACACGTTTTACGTCATAACGAAGAATTGCATCATATTATAATAGAAGGTGCAATTGAAGGACGGAAACCACCAGGAAGACCAAGAAACTCGTACATATCTCAACTGAAAAATGACGTAGGGTTTGATACATACGCCGGATTAAAAAGACTTGACTGAAGATCGTGATAAGTGGAGAGCGAAGTTAAAAACGTTGTAAATCAACCTAATATAGGTTGAAAAAAAAAAAATCGGAGTGAAGAAGAATTTATTTATTTTATTACAAATAGATCTGTAGATCATTCTTTTTAAATTTTAGGCTAAGCGAGAACTTCAGCACTCGAATAGGTCAAAAATTCACTTAAAAATATTTTAAATCAATGCGAAAAAATAGGGCAGAATTTTTTATGATTTGTTACTCGAAATTTGGAGATTGTAACTTCAATATAACTACCTAAAACCGTTTTTTTTTAGAGTACCGGAGGCACCAGCGTCGGTACACATTAATTTGTGTTGAAGATTATTTTTTATTTTTGAGTAATACCTAAGTAAAAGAAACATCAGCCAATTTTTCTTTCAGTATCAAATATCTTATAAAAAAAAAGACGGATATACTTCGCATGTGGGTATAGCCACTGTTGTAGGTGAGAAGTTGGGAAGATATTATACAGACAGGAATTTAATGTATATCTGTAAGTAATGATAAACCATTGCTAACGAAAAATCGATTCTGAGCGGAGTTCAGTTGATAGTGTTGCTTTGTCAACAATATATATGCTATATTATGTTAACATTATATATGCATTAAACATTTTTTTTAATGTACCTATTCTCTATCCTATTTTATCCAATACATCCAGATTTTTCTTAATTTTTTTTCTGGTTTTCTACAAAATATTTCTTAATATATTAAGAAAAATCTTATAAAATAAGTAAATAATAAATAATAAATGAAAAATAATAAATATTAAAAATAACCTTTACTAAAAAGTACATCCCCTGCCTGATTTGCTTGCAGAAAAGGTGCTACACTTAAAAATCGGAGCAAGATTTTTGGTAGAAAATTTGTCCATAGACAAAAAAAAAAAATAAATCTTTGTAAAACCATAAGCTTCTTTGCTTCTCTCAAAATCAACGATTTTTTGTATATACATACTGACTCCTTTAAATGAGATAACATCCATTATCTCGGAAAGTATTAACTTTTTTGGAATTTGCTTATAAAACATTTAAGTTTTTGAATAACAAATTACAAGTTCTTCCCTGTCACTTCAAACCTGGTTGAAGTCCACAAATTCTCCCTCAATGTCACAATCCATGTATTAAACATTTATTTAATATGGCATATATATTGTTGACAAAGCATCACTACTGACTAAACTGCTCTCAGAATCGTTTTTTCGTAAGCAAAAGTTTATGGTTGCTTTCAGGTATACATTAATTAAATTACCTATAACAATGACTGCACTCGTCCTCATTATTCTAGGTTGCCTTTTTAATTTTATTTACTTAAATTCTAAAAAAACCGTACTCATAAATGAGTTATTAAAAAAAATGGAATATTTAAATTTCTCAAAAAATTTAAATAAAAAAAGTAGAAAAGTCGATCTCAAGTAGATTTCACGAAAAATTTTAATTTGCTAACAGAATTCTTATCGGTTCACTAGATCAGTCCGGTACGTTGGAACTAAAACACGTGTAAATCCCTATATTTCACGCGTGTAAGATAAAAACAGAAACTCGTCGCTTTCAATCCCTCAAATCCCCAGATCCCAATTTTCGGAGATTAGGCCAGGGATAAATTGCAGAGCACATTATAAATAATATTATGTTAATATGTTCTATTCAATAATTTAAATGAAAGAATAATTTGTATATATTTTTCTTTGCTCATCAACTTGACCTTTTTTTATTATAAATATCAATAGACACGAGACATGTAGAACCATAGTGAAAGAGCGAGGGCCCCATTTCTCCTACTCTAAGGATGGCCGTGCTTGCAGGATTGGTCTAATTCGTACACAAATGACACACTGCTAAATGATCAGAATTCAAAAAGAAACAAATATGGTCTTTTTAGTTAGTATGAAAAAAACCAAAATTGATAAAATTATTAACCATGAAATGCAAATGATTACATAATATTAGTAAATCCTCAGCTAGCTTTGAAAACGTTTTCTATTTTTCGAAAAATTCCAATATGATCTTAATTAAATTTATCATAAAACTAATTATATATAAAATACATAAATCAATATTTATTTTTTTTTTTCATTAACTATAAGATTAAAAGTCTTTGTTTTTTTATACATTTGTTTGCTTGCGGTGCATTTCTATAATCTAAAGTAAATATTGTTTTTATTCTTTTTATTTAGTGAGAACAGGGTTGAAATTTTGAATTAGTTTGACGCCTCGTTTTGCTAAATTATTCATTGCCATACAACTTTCAGCTTTTATAAAGCTGGATAAAGTTAGTCAGCTTAATCAAATTAAGTGTTATATCATACGATGAAAAAAACTGTGCACTATTCTTAGTCATAAAATCTAATAAATTTATACTTAAAATATGTTTTTTATCGACGTGAATGCGACGAAGAGGGTTATCGCTGCGATCATTTTCTAAAGCGATCACGATTCTTTTTTCTTCGACTGATACGGGTAGATTAAATATGGCTAACCTAACAGAATTCCGCTCAAGTATCATAAATGGTCGGAAAATTTCTTGTTGCTTACTAAATTTTATGATTAATGGATTGATATTCGATGAAATCTTTCAACAAATTAAGATCATTCAATGGTGCCAAAATCCGATTTTGAAAAATGTACAATTTTAATGTAGATGCAGATAAAAAAAAAAAACATTAAATTCGAGGAGGCATTTGAGCTGAGCTGCTTTCGATAAATGGGAGTTGATCACGAATAATTTGTACTTTTAAAAAGTATATAATTTTTGCCATCCAACGAGCGCGATGGTAGGCTCCTGGAGTGTGTATTTTTATTAAATTTTTAGTGGTTTCCTCCAAGAAAACGAATAATAAATTCAGCAGTTCTTTGTAATCATAACGTACATGGCAATTATTCAACTGATATTTAATAAATGCAGTGATATCTGAATTCTTTTTCTATTCTCTATTTTTACTTTCTTTTTGTATTTTATGTATTATTAGTTTTATGATAAATTTAATTAAAATCAAATTGTAATTTTTTCAAGGCTTGTTGATGATTTACCAACATTATTTAATCATTTGCGTTTCATAGCTAATAATTTTGTCAATTTTGATTCTTTTCATATCAACTAAAAGAACTATATTTGGACTATAAAGGACTATATACCTTTTTAAATTCTGATCCTTTCGCAGTGTGCCATTTTAGTTAGTCATAATTTAAAGTGTAAAAATAAGTAAAATACATATAAATTGCGTTATTAATCTAAAATCACTAGTCGCAATCTGAAATTTCTTTTTGTAAATACCCTAATATATATCGGGTGATCCATTTAAGTGGGTACACTCGTTATCTCGGAAAATATTAACTTTTTTCGAAATTTGTTTTCTAGAACATTTCAGAAATAAGCTACTCTACAATTTAATATGTATGTTAACTTTTGTAACCTTTTTTTTTGAGATGAAACGACCACCTACTTTTGATTTTTAAATGGAAACCTATATTAAAAAGTCTATAAATAGATGAAGTAGTAGTTGAATAAATTTTTGTATTTAAATTTTAAATTTCCGTCATTTCATTGACGAGATATTCTACTTTTAAGTTTTGGTTGATGGACAGTAGTGCTGCATTACTAACATGATGCATAATGTATCTCGTCAACAGATCGACGGAAATCAAAAATGTTAACAATACAATTTATTTTAACTAATACTACATCTATTTATGGGATTTTTAATATAGGTTACCATTTGAAAATCAAAAGAAGGTAGTCGTTTCATCTCAAAAAAAAAAAGGGTTAAAAAAATAACATACATATTAAATTGTAGAGTAGCTTGTTTCTGAAATGTTCTAGAAAACAAATTTCGAAAAAAGTTAATACTTTCCGAGATAACAAGTGCACCCACTTCAATAGATCACCTGGTATAATGATGCATTTTGTTTTGTGTTGAAGAAAATGATCATTCATTGATCTTCAATCAAGTCATCGGCACCAACGTAGAACAATCGCATGGTGTTGGTGAAACCCGCATTTTGTTTGGAACAGCTCATATGCAATACCAAATCGCCTTGATTAAGGATTCCTCTTTTCTTCCCTAAGTTCATCGCGAATTTTGTACGGTTTTCAACGTCTTTCGCCCAAATGGTTTCTGTTGGTTCTGCAAAAATTTACAAAATTGGTGTTAAAATGTTGGTAATTTTAGCATTGTCATCATTAATACAACTGATTAATAATTTTAAATATACATTACCTTATAACTTTGGTTATTTTATATTCATACGAAAACAAGTCTAGTGGCGTATTTAGCTAGGCTATATAATATATTTTATACCAGGTATGCATAATTTCCTCGCTTCTGTTTTTGTTGTGTGTATTCAATATAGGTTTAGATCACAATATTATACTATGGATAGAGCCACAGCTATACCTCATGTAAAATGGGTATGCAGGTATGCGGATAGGTGGCCAATATATCAAGGGGGTATGTAGCTACTACGTATGCGTCCCTTTCTTTTTTTTAGGTGTTATCTGCTGTTCTATTATCTATCTATATTTTTGAACACTGTTTATAATTTTATTTATCTAAAGTTTGTGATAAGCCTGATAACAATACTTTGCGCATGTGCAGAACGAAATATTTTCTTTATATGTTGACGACATGTTTTATTGCTTATATTTTTATCCATTGATCTAAAAATATAGGATTACTAATATAATCACTTGATTTACCTATATAGTGCACTGCCGTAAGATTGCGCCACACGGTGATCTTTCTGGCAGCCTTTCCGTTTTTGATTATAGCCAGTACTGGACACCTGGGCCGATACCTGGCGACGATTTTGGCGGACAGTCCGGACGTGGTGATCACTATGATCGCGGCCGCATGACACTTTAATGACACTTCCACGCATCCTATGCATATCGCGTGTGCCGGATCGACTTTTGGTTTGGCCTTTATTATTATGGGCAATACAGGTCACCGGTATAAGAAAAAGAAAATCGTGTTCTCTATTATTGCATTGCTAGCAATTTTATTCGCGTATACCTTGTTGTTTAGGTCGGAAAACACCTGATGTTCCCATATGGCGGCTTCGCCTTGTCGACATACTGTCGACGCGTACTCAATGCAGTGGGCTTTGTGCGTAGCCCGCGTTGTTACTTCCAGGTAAATGCAATCGGTCCCGTCTAGTACTGTGGTTATAATGTCATTTATTTCAGAGCTTGAAGGCACCGTATTGAATTCCATGGAATTCAAGAATTTACCGTGAGTAACGATTGGCTTTCCGATCTGCACAACAAAAAAAAAATAAAATAAAAAAACTAAACATTGTCCTACATTATTATTTTGATAATTTATATAACTACTGTAGTGAGCTCAGAGCATCAGCTAGAGCATCATATGATTTATTTAATGACGGACTTCACCGTCGTCTACTGGTGGTAGAGGATTGAGATGGACAGTAAAACACAATTTATAAATACATATAACTAATTAATTTATTTGATAACTCATATAATTTAACAAAACAGAAAATACAAAGATGGAACAGAGGTTCGTCCGCAAGGGCTTGAACGTGAACCGGTCTTTAAAGAAAGACGGAGACGAAGATCTGGTAACTTTGACCGTTTTGTCTTAGGTATACAACAGGACCAGTATATATACAGATTCAGCGAACGCTACGTGATTCCTGAAGGTTAATTTAATAGAATAAGGACGCAATAAGGAATAAGAATTGGTACATAGCGCGTGTCAAGGTCTTCTATGATAATCAGATATTTTATTATTGACGTAGTTATCAGCATCAACGTGCTTGTAATTATATAGTTTAAATGGGTTTACTACACTATCTACATTCTAAAATCCCTGTAAAATTATTTCATTACAACATAAATTAAAGTTACGTTTTATAAATTTCAAACAAAAAGCTCAGACTTAAAAGTTCATTAAAAATGTTTTTCTTATTTCACTTTTTCTTTTTCTTCAAAAATAATAACTTCTTATATATGTTCTACACTATCTGATGCTATTAAAATTTGCCCGAAATTTGTCAATAAATTTATAATAAGTAAAAAGATTCACCAAAATAGTCGATATTTCACTTAAAACACATATTTGTAAAATACATCAAAAGAGATGACTTTAATACCGGAAATAACATCATATGAAAATCACTGTCCAATAATAATTATATGTCGAGAAATAATCCAATTTAACGATATATTTAAAAAATAAAAATATTTCGATAACATTTAATTCGTTTATTTGCAGCTTTTACTAACTTACGTTTAATCATGTATGATTTGATCAACTGTAGTAAAACCCATCATTTGCCTATGATTTTTACTGATGACCGGGCACTTACTATTACACGTTAATACAGAAAGACTTACTATGTTACATTTGGACAAGACAATCTTTTGTGCTAGAAATATATTATCGACACCGATTTCCATGGACAAATTGGGCCGATCTAAGAATATGCCGTCGGCAATCTGTATTATTTGGTCGATGTTCTCAAGTCCTACACTGTTGTCAATTTTCGCGTACAGGTTGATATCCTTGCCCTTCTCTTGGCCTTTAGACAAAACGTCATGTTATATTTATCTATAAAATAATCAATAGCAAGTACAGGACACTTACAAACAAAATTTTTGACCTGAGTGAAATACGCTGCGTTCCTGACACCGGGAACCAAGATCACGTCGACTTTAAGCTGGATTCCAATACGGACATCTTCCTCGTCTTGTTCGGTTAGTGCCGTCACGCCGATTGGTATTCCCGGTATGTGCACGGTTTTTTGCGACCCCAAAAACTCTCCTCGTTTGATTAAGCAATATACCTCGTCCGTTTCTAGAAAAAACCAAATAGTTTTCCTCAAATACCAATAACAAATTCTTTGGTTATGACAAAAAAAAATAAAACACAGTAAATAGAAATATGAATACTATAAACTTATTTATGCCCGGTTTTTAGTACGAAAATCTATAGATAATTTACTTAATTAGATACTTTACCGACTTTTTCTACGGCTAATTCGATTTTTCCGTCATCCAAATATATAGGATCATTTTCTTTAAGCCGGAGAATTTGTTTAGTGTCCGTGTAAATTCGGTCTGCCGTACACTTATCCTTATACTCGGGGTCGTGTGTCACATAAACATGACCGTTAGTCGGTAGTTCTATCATTTGCTCCTGAAGATTGCCCTTTATAGAAATTCAAAAAAAAATAGCTGATACTATGTCTACTTATGGGCGTGCCGCTGTTTAAGGCGGGAAGTGGAAAAGGTAGGAAACTAAGTATGTTTATTTAATTTACATCTATGTGCAAAGTTAAACGTGTTTTGAAAAGCCATAATTCTTACAGTTTTCGTCAAAATTTTAAACTAAAATACTACTACATTAAGTTCAATTTTTTTTATCTATACAGTAAAACTTATAATACTTATAACCACATGTTAAAAATTCAGGCATTTCTGTTAAGCCAACTAATATATTTTATCTACATAAAATTAAACCAAAACTAAAAAAAAAAACCTCGAAAATATTAAATAATTAGGAATACACAAAAAATCATCGAAATTTTAGAAAATAGTGAAACCGTTAATGCCGTAAACTTTCTCAGTAATTTATAATTAAATTAAACTAAAATGAATTCAGTTCTTATCAAATACACAAATTAATTATTTACCTCAAAAAATAAAATACTTTAGAATGAACGATTTTGGTTTATGGTAAAATCTACTAAGACAGAATTATATAGTTAAAAGCGAAATTTTATAAATATTTAATGTAAAAATAATGTTATATTTTTGGCATATAGTTATAACAAGAAGCTGAGTGCTTAAAACTCTGTTTTAAAATTAGTACTTCATTTTTTTACATAATAAGTATAATAATATAGTATTTAAAAATTGCAATGGCTGATGAAATTTGAATGAGCGTTGATTAGGGAATTTAAGGTAAATTGAGGGGAGGGCTTGGAAGCCCACATCTTACTAATGTCTATATACCTATGAACATAAAATAACATATTCTGACTGATTCAATAACGCCTTGTCGAAATCACTAAATCTATGGGTATGAAATTTGGTCAGTAGTTTTGTTTTGATATAGAAACTCATCAAGAAGCCCCATTGATGTTTTATAAAAAACGCCATTGTACACGAGTGAAGTCGAGGGTAATATAGCAAGTTTTTACACACATGGGAGAAGCCGAGTAATTCAGCTAGTGTATAAATGTAAAGTTTTAACTTTTAGTAATCCGGAAATTTTTTCTTCAATCTATATTTCTCGTGCTGAAAAATGTTCTATCTATCTTTGTGGAACACTTTATTATCATAGGTACTATTATTTTTAATCACTTACTTTTTTGTTCAAAATGTTCCCTGTCATGATGGACGTTCCATTGAGACATAGAACTAAAGATAAAGAATATGGAACCCTATTGGTCCTAAAACTGTAATTAAAAACCCCTTGACGAATCTCCAAAACCATTTTCCTTCTTTGAACGTAAAGTAATTTGTTAAAATCGAATAAAACCATTGACACCCCTCTCTCGCAGAGTTCTTCTATTACATCTTTGGTCACGTTCGATCCTGCAGTAATAATAATAATAATAATAATAATAAAAAATCAAACCAATTAATTAATTATGTATATATTTATATTTATACTTACGAACGCCACAAGCTAAAGTAGTCAATGTATTTTTCGACGGATTTGATTTAATATTCAAATTGCTCATATGATCGAGATAATAATTCTCAAAGGTCGCTTTCATTTGCATTTCATTTGTGTCACAGATTTCCTATTCAGGGTATTTTTTTTTAAAGTTATAAATAGTAAAATAATTTAATAAAGTTAAGATTCATTACCAGCGGGCACATATCATACGGTCTTTTTGTCATAGTCGAATTTACGGAATTCATTTTTTCAAATATGTTTTATAATAAAATCGTTAATTTCGATTAAAATCGAAAATTTCAAAATTAGTTTTACGATCAATATTTAAGAAAAAATTTCCTTATAAACACCATTTGTAAATGCATGGTTACAAATAATAAAAATAACATCCAAATATTATTGGTTCAATAGCAAGGTTTCCAATTATTTAATTTAAGAAATCGGGACTTTTCCAATATGAGAAAATTGTATTTTAATTTTAATAATATAATTTTAAGCACACCATATATTATACTTACTATTCGCTATTTGCGCGATGTTGCACATCCGATTTACCTCCATGAGATATTAAAAAGTCTCTTACATAATTTACAATGACCATATAAATTGTTATTTTCTGATTTTTAAAGCCAGGTATTAGAACTTAACCACATTTCACGAAAAGTATAAAAATGTTTTATCTTTTTCGGTGGAATACTTTGTTCTCTTGGATCACTCATTTTATATGATTATAATATCAATACACGCCAATAACACACACGCACAACATGACACAAGAATACACAGCGTATTAACGGTTCATTCCAAAATAAAATATTTATGCACATGTCAACGAAATGACGATTACGTATTAGGAAAAATACAGATAAAGTAATAATAATAACTCAGGCATGCACTCCTTAACAGAACTCAATTTATCGGCAACTAGTATGCAGTCATGCCGCTGTAGAAGGGAATAATAATAATTTATAACGTATACACTATCACTCGAACGAAGAAACCGATGATAATAAGGTTGTTATTCGAAACAATCAAATTTTAGAAAAAGCTCTTCATCATGCACAATTAAAGCTTATCCTGATTCAAAATATATCTTTTTTATTACGTTTAGCCATTCTCGAGAAATAGTGCGGATAAATATATTGACGGACGGACAAACAGACAAGATTCGAAGTTGAATAAAAACCTTTAATAAAAAAAGACGGACATACATCGCACGATCAGTCACAGTGGGCCACTGTTGTAGGTGAGAAGTTGAGTAGGTAAGATATAGAGGGGAATGTAATGTATATCTGTACGCAACGGTTAAACTTTGCTAACGAAAAGCAATTCTGAGCGGAGTTCATTTGTGTGTATTATTCTTTTAAAAATAGTATCTTTCTACATAGAGTTCCACGATTTTATACGCCAATGAGATATTTTCCAGAAATACATTCGTAATCAAACAATACATTTCCCGATTCGTACACGCTTTCATATTGTTAAAACTTCGATTTTTAATCGTAATTAATTAAAATTAATTAAAACAATATTATTTGTTGAGCGGTGTTAAATTACATATATTACATTAAATCATACATAGTTATATAGTTAAATATTAGTACATATTGATATTATGGGATTTTTATAATGCACATATTAATATACAACGGTTATATTATTTTGCAATATTTTCAATAATAATTGTTTGATATTTACATTTTGTAAATTTATTAAAATTTAATATTAAAAGAAAAAATAGAATGCACACTGGATTTAACTATAATTAATTATAATGTATATAACAAATCATAATATGGAACACAAAATCTTATTTAACTTTATATAACGGACATAAAAATGATTTAATTGTTAAAATAAATAAATACTATGGTTAGGTATATATGTAGGTACCGTCAATCTGTACAGTTTTATTTAAATAATCGACATTTAATTCAATTAATTATTATTACAGACAGTTACAATACTTGTAATACTTGTGTCGAAATATTATCTACTAATAATACCTACATAATAATATATATCTATTAATGTAAATCTTAAACAATATTATTATATTTGTTTTCGAGATCGTCGTTTATAAGTAACTTCCCTATATAGGTTTGATGCGTTATAATGTATATAAATTTAACTGAAATAGTAAAATTTAAAACACATTTAAAAAAAAAAAATAATAATTAATCTATTAAAAACATCTTCAACACCTGTGGGCGAAATGGGGAAAAATCTATTTTATACAAAAAGAAAACACAATAACTTAAAGAGCTTAAAATAATAACTAGATCGTATTATAATTCATTCACACTAAAATGATATAACGGTAATAGAACCAGGTAACAATTATAAAAAAATAATTTACAATGCAATTGCAAAGAGACGTCATTAATCAACAATATTTTAATATAAGTGAGATGGACAAATTCATTTTTTTTTTGTCAAGTTTGCGGTTGTATATATGTATTAACGTGTACATCATACAACAAGGAACACGTGTAACATTTGCGTTTATTTGGAAGCCAGGCCTAATTGGTTTTATATTGGTTTATAAAATAATATATTATTATTTTATTATTGTATTATAATATCACATTGTAGGTCGTCGGATTCATACCGGGTTCAAGGACAAACTGGCACTGAAATCAAAGAAATCTATATAATGATGATTGAAACATGATTAGATACAAACGCCATTAATTATACAATATCGTATTTTACATTTTACCTGAAACACAATGAAACGGGATACAGTAAACGAACGTAATAACCATTGTAAATAAATTGATAAATAAATAAATTGATTGACTGTTATACATAATATTAATAGTCTAGATAAAATTATTGTGTTGTGATAACCCAACACATGGACATTGTATGCCGCATAATTAAATATTAATTAAACTAGTTAGTTTGTTCCTATACTTCGTTGTGTTCGGTTCTGTCTGTGTGTTTTTTAAATTCATTCGTTTTGCATATTTATATAATCCCAACTGTACTGCACCATCATTTCTTTTGATATTATTCTACATTTAATCTGTCAGTCAGTGGAATAAAATGCAAAATAGTCAAGACAATAACGAAATCAATCCGAGACAGATATCGAAGTCAGCAAAACGGGCCAATCGCAGAAAGGTACTCTCTCGAGAGTATAAAGCTCGGAGTATCTTAGAATCTCAACCTAACGCCACTCACAGTAAGTCATTGGATCGCACAGCTAACCGTCTATACAAAAAAGCACGTAACGAGTTTAGGATAGGATTATCGTTACCTAGCGAACAAAAAACCACAAGCACTCAACAAATTTCGAAAGACGCAAAGTCGCAATTTAAAAAAGCAGAACGCATTTTGGAACACGCTTTTGCTATTCAAAAAGCAGCTGAAATTACAAATACCGTAGGTTATCAATACGTACCCGAACGACCTAACACTAATGTCGAAAAGTATAATAAGTTAGTTTTACCAAATATTAATAATAAAATACAGAATGACAAGTAATAATTCAACCTTGATTGAATCCACGCTGAAATTATCTAACTTTAAAAACAACGGAACCAAAAATAAAATTGCAATTTGACTGAAAATATTCGAAACAGTTTATCTGACTAATTCGGCAACTTATTTTTTATACTACATGGAGGACGATGAGTTGTTATACTGAAGAGAGCATATTTTGGGAACCTATATAACATCTTGGGAGACAATAAGAACTACGTTGACGAATCGATTTGGTGCTCCTAAAATACATTCGAACCTATTCGTGAGTGCATGCAACGGCGATTGGACGGAAAATTGATGGATGGATAGAAAATTGGACGAAAGCATTGGAAATTATTTTGGTAAAAAAATCAATTAATTACATTGGAGAAATTTAACAGTAATGGAATTCAGTGGCGTAGCGAGGATTATGCAATGGGAGGAGTTCGAGGTATCAATTATACTGTTACTATTTTACACTTTTAGATTCTGAGTGGAGCGAGGAATGTAAAGAAAATGTATAGGTAATGCATTTGTAATTATTTTACCATAGCATGACATATATTGTTAACAAAGCAACATTATCAATCAAACTCCGCTCAGAATCGTTTTTTCGTTAGCAATAGTTTATCATTCCTTAAAGATATACATTAAATTTCCTCTCCACTAGCTTTCCAACTTCTAATCTATAGCAGTGGCTGCACCTGTCCCTATTATCCTAAGACACCTTTTTTTTTATGTTTTTTGCTCAATGCTTAAGTATACTCTTATTGACATATTTTAGAACCAGGTACAGTGGTGTAAATAGAAAAAAAAATTAACCAATTGATAGGTATACAAATACTACAATTGAGTCTTGAAATATTTTACTGTTAATTTACAGCCAACGTATTTGTCTTGTTTCATTGCTAATGGATTCAAAACGTCTTCCAGCTAAAATATTATTTCCTAGAAAACAGTCACATTTATGAATATAAACATACAAATGTATCAAATATCTTGATTATAATATTTTAATCAGTCGTTACTTATTATAAAAGTCATAAACCACAACCGCTGTGGTGCAAATCACAATCATTGTGGTGCTAATCACTATCATTGTGGTGCTAATCACAATTATTGTGGTGCAAACCACAATCAACGGTTTGTTAAAAAATCGTGATAAATGATAATAATATTTATAATATAATATAATATAATATAATAATAATATATTTGATCTCTGGACAAGTTTTAGAAGTGTTTTGTTCAACTAATTTATCAGTGATAACGTAAATGACAAAGATAAATGATATTTTTAATTTATCCGTTATAATGCATTTTCTAATACCATAATAATAGTATGATAACAAGTATCATAATTTTTACAGTACAATTAACGAAGTATACAATAATACGAATACATTTATTAGGTTAAAACATGTGAAAAAAGCGAGGGGGGTTAAATATCCACCCCTCTCCCTAGCTACGATACTGATTAAATTAGTAACACTATGAATTTACAAAAAATAGATTGTTATTATTTTGTTTTTTAATGATATGACAACGAAATGTCGACTTTTATGCTATTTGTTTTCCAAATTCCCATTACTGATTTGTATCTACCTGCAAGACTCACTATCCATCAGTCACTATTATAGTGACTGTAATATTCGAAAATACGTGCAATTTACATATATTTGACTCGACTTGAACAAATCAATAATCAATTTGATTGTATTCAATTTCAAAAAAAGCAATACTTGCCCAAATCTAATCATATTATTATAAACGCGCCCATAGCAAAATTTCGTCTACTAACTGTAGACAAGGTGTGCCCTGTCACGTTGTATTTTCCCGAACAACCGGTTCCGAACGAATTTGACCTACTTAATATACACATATATTATTATTATTGCGTAAGTAACATAGGTATAACCTATTTATATTGCACGTTAATGGAGGATTATTTGATTTCGTGGCACCTATTTAAATATTCTGCACCATTTGTAATTGATTAATGATTTCAGACAAATGGTACACGCTTTTTGATATATTATATTGAAACATTTGCAAGAGCAATGTTTCTAGTTTTTTTTTTTTTTATAATTATTACCTATACATCACATGAAGTCCAATTTAAATTTAATCTGTACCTAATGAAACTGTACCTACTATGCATTTTTGTTGTGTATCTTCAAAACTGATAAAACTTTTAAATTTATGAACGTGTTTATTTTTTTAATTTACAGCTATTTTATTGTGCTATCAACTGACATACACAATTATACCAAAAATGTGAAATTTTAAAAATAAATCAAGTATAAATCAAAATAATTTGTAATTTACTGAAATGTAATCAAGTATATATATATATCAATTATACACAAGTACAAATCTACTAAAAAAATACATTCAATATCTTCAAAAATTTGTTTTCGTATCTTTCATGATTGTAGAGTTATACCCTGTTAAATGTGAATAACTTCAATATTTATTTCAGGGGGGGGTAATCGGGAGGTATTGGCCTCATCCAGATAAATTTACATCACCTCCTGAAAATGCATGGTATTACCACGTAAACTACATGTGATACGAGTTATGGGTCGATTATAAGTCATTTTTTTGACAATAAAATAAGAAAAACTATTGTGTTATAGAATTCTTGGAATACATTATAGCTCATTAGTCGTTAATCTTAGAATTACTGGAATCAATTGTCGGCTTATAAAGGCTAATTGATAATCACGGAGTACCATGAGCTCTATCATTTTATTATTCAGTAGTTAATCAATCAATTTTTTATTTTTAACATATTTTCTTGCTATTTTTTATTTTTAAATTACCTACTTTGTTATTTATCTTTTTCAATTTTATGTTTAGTGAGTTTTATTTTGTCTCTAATAAAAAAATTAACTTATTCAAAAAATAATTTTTTATTTTTATCATTCAAATTGCATGCTTCATTTAGGCTCGATGTGTAGTATAATTGTACATTGTCAATAATGAAAATCTCAAGTTATAGTGTTTAGTAGCGTATAACTCTGCAAGAATGTAAAATAAGAAAACGAAACTTGTAAGGTATTGTAGGTATTTTTCAGTAGAACAATAAAATAAAATAAAACAAAACTTTATTAAATATGAAATTATTTTGAGTTATATTTTGTTTATTTTGAAAAATGCACATTTTTGACAACAAATTTTCACTTTTTTCTATTTCATAAAAATAATTTGTGCACTTCTAGTATAATTGTGTATGTCAGTTCATAGCACAGTAAAATAGCTGTAAAATAAGAAAAAAATACGTTCATAAATTTCAAAATTTTTGAAGATACTCAACAAAAATGCATGGTAAGTACGATTCATTAAAAAACTTAAATTGCTTGTAACTTAAAAAAAATGTTGGTCCCCCTCCTTTCCTTTAAATGGAGTTTCTCCATAACTGTTGGTATACTTTCATATAACACTGTCCAGTCACTTCCTCTCCTCCCCGGAAAACATTGTACATTTAAAAAAATAGCAATAATTATTTAAATATATTTTATGACGAAACGCAAGATCGGACGAAAAAATAAAACATTCAAAACGGTTATCAGAATAATATTTGATGATAGGTAAACCTTAGATAAACTTTTTACAATACAATATTTTTACTCGATAGATTTAATGGTTTCATCCAAAATCCGCACAAATATGATTTCAACTCCAAAAAGGTTAAGAGACAAAAACTGCCACTTTTTGGTTGTCAAGTAGGTACATTGTATAGCCAAATACTACACAGTTATAGTGGGTAAAAACCGCAAATTAATGTCTAAAATACGTTTCACAAAACTAACGACTCCGTAATAGTTCTTCCGGTGGCGAAATTTGGGTGTTCCGCGGTTTCACAATCTTGCACATAATACGCGGCAATTTGGAATACTACACGGTTTTTAAAAAATATGAATAAAAATAATTATTTTATTTATTGTATAATATATTTTATTATACATTATAATATTTATTATAATATACTAGTGGCAGTGAAAAGTAAAATTTATATCAACATGGCCGGTTGTTCGATGGTTGATTGCTGCGTCATTTTTTAATTACCGCGCTTTTTTAGTCACACGTTTAGGAAACCCTCACAAAAATCTTTCACCGGAAGCGCCATTGTGAAGTCGCTAGTTTCGTGAAACGTACTGTAGTGTATAGCATACGTTGTATTTAAAATTTTAAAATTACCATTTACATACAAATCCTTATATCTTATCGTAGGTTAATATGCTCGAACTATTATTCGTTAATGAGATATTTTATCTTTACTTACAATATATAATTACTAACAATAAATTAATAGTAAATGGTGAAACAAATATTATAAGTATTTTTCCAGAACTGGTGTCGATCGAAACGCGTGTTAATGTAACTTAACATGTATGTGGTTTTTGGTGTTTTAGTTGTTTTATATCTTATATTTTTCAATATATAAATTGTACCTAAACAATTATTTTTAATAAATATATGAATAATAAATAATAGATTATACATTATTAAAAAATGTACAGTTAATGAATACAACAATTCTAAAAAATATGCAGTTGTGTGTGTACAAAGTCTACTATATGTGTGAGGTTTTAACCTATCAAAAATTAGTTTTGTCCATTATTTTATCAAAAGTGTAAGGTTTTCAGAGCCAATGGGTTTATTCGTTAGAATTATGTAGTTACCATTTCTCACGGCTGCAAATTTATTGGTAGATTATTTTGCAATTAATTCCAGATCAAATAATAAGTAAAAATACAAATTATTTTTATTCTTTGGTTTATCTTAAGCAGTGGTTTTCAAACAGAGTACCGCGACACATCAGTATGCAGCGAGCATTCACTAGGTGTGCCGCGGTCTTTTTAAATTTGTTTTCCTTAAATTGTGACGGACCGCCGATTACATTGATCCACTAGTTAAGTATGAAGTTGTAACTCTTTTGATTATCATTCGTTTGAGTATGACTCATTTTGTACAAAAATTAAACAATGACGAAAAAATAGGTCAGTGTGCTGTGAAAATGTTGTGAAAAGCGAAGTATGCTGTGGTTAAAAAAAAGTTTGAAAACCATTGATAAAGTATTAAAAACATAATAATAGTATTAATATTGATAATTTTTACAGTTTTAAATACAAAAACATCATTTTATAATATTATAAGCCACGGCGGACATGTTTGGAGAGCATTTACCTTGTGCATTATAATATCATATTAGATAGGTATAATTTCTAAGGGTCATATAAATATACGATTTCCAATGATAATCATTGGAATATTATAGTAGCTATACAAATATGAATGTAAAATATATATAGTTAATTAAAACTAGGCAACATATAATTATAATCTAACTTTAGTTCGGTAATTGTAGCGGTTTGTAACTTTTTCTAAAAAAATCCACATTATTATCATTAATAATTTTTTATCAATTTTATTTGTTAAAACATTAAGATAAATAATGAAAAAAATATTATATTGATAATATAACTATACAGAGTGATCAGTTTTCGATAAAATACTCATTATCTCAGTAAGTAGGAGTACTAACTTTATTCTTAATCTGTTTGGACAACTTAAGAAACAAGCTGCTCTAAAATTTTAAATTTCGGTTATTTGTGTCATATTAATTTTTGAAGGTGAAACCACTATTCACTTTTGATTTTAAAATATCCACCTATTTTTAATTCTATAAATACTTAGATGAAATTTTAATTTAAATACATTTCGGTTTTGGCATTTTTAGTTTCTTTCAAACCTTTGACGAAATATTCCACTCCTTAATTTAGTAATGGAGCATCATTTGTGTATTGCCGTGGCTCGTGATATTTGGTTAGTGTTATTCTTTCTCTACCCAATCTAAACCCATACCTACCCAGTGCTAAACCACAAAAAACAAAAACCAATTTGTATACCAACTTTAAATCTGTAATGGTATCTACTATCCAATATTATTACTATACAAATTAATGGAAGGATAATAGTGTGAAGGAATGAAATAAGGCCCACCGCGCCTTGACAGGTGACCGATTTAAATGTCACTCCTCTTTCTTTCTCTTTCTCTCTCTCTGTCTCTCTCAATTTCAGAATTATATTAACCTTCTTCGATGCAGATACGGTAGAATCTAAAAACATGTGTGAATATTTGAAATTCGACTACTTTGGTAATATTATAATATTTTAATATATATATTATAATGCATTTCTAATTGGGCAAGGGGATTAATTTACTAAAATATACTTAGTTATAGTTTGGTAAACAAATGGTGACAATCTACAATCGGTTATAGGAACCGACTTAACCCGTAAATATATTTAATTTATATTTATGTTTAGATTCTAAGGGGGGCAAAGCTTTAATTTTTTTTATTCTGTTTAAATAACATTTCTACTAGAAATTTCAGAAATATTGCTCCAATCTTCAAGAATAGGATTTTATCTGAAAGAAAATGTTGTCTAGTTTGTAAGTATAGGTTATTTTTTGATTTTCTAAATAGTTTTTATAATTAGGAAATCTGAAAAAAACTTGGTCTAAATTAAAAATTATTAAAGTACATTAAATTAATTCAATTGGAGTTATTTCGATGTATTTATTATAAAATTTTCTATTAAATGTGAAATAGTTTTTCCAGAATATATATTCAATTCCATAACTTGGTTGTTTAAGACCCCAGAAAGAAATTAAATTGTCACCCATATAATTATACGATGACCCCTAGGCTGAGGTATACCTTTATGTGGTACATAATCTGAAAATTGTTACTATAAATTAACAGTATGATTATTATAATATATTAATATTGTATGTTGTAATTTATGTTATTGAAAATTATATTGATAATATATTACATTAATATAGAGGAGTTAAAATAGTTTGAAATAAAATCGTTTTGAAACTAAAACTTATTCTTGTCATGTAAATACTTTATTAACATTTTAAAAACATTAAACTGTTTTAAGAATTAAAATGCTTGCAAATTACAACGGCTAATTTTAATAAATTCAAGCATTTAAAATGGTTTATTAAATGAATATATAAACATGTTTTTAAAACATTATCCCATTATAAATTTTTGATTATGCGTTGCACTGCTAATTATCATTATTACGCGTTGTTTTTAAAAAGTCACATTTCGATTTATTTTTAAAATTCTATCAAATCCTTACTTTAAAAATATTGAATGGCAAATTATATGCTATTTAATGCTAACAAAATAACAAAATTATATATAAAATTTGTTTACAAAATGTTCTCTTAACTATATATATATATATAAAAAAAAGAAGGCCGTAATAATTTAAACTAATTCCTACATTTCTTACATTTTCTCATTTTTCATCAAAGTCAATGGTTTTTAATGGTTTTATTAAATTATTACTTTTAACAAATTTTACATCTAATTGTTGGTTTATACTATGATTTTGAAATAACCACGAATGTTGGAGACGGTCAGTATGCACGTACTGAGTCCACACGCCCGTGAATTGATTACACTTTTTAAGGTTACAATAAGTTATTATAATTACCACCGGCTTAGCACACGCACACACATATATAAACACATTCATACTACAAATACATATTAGGTATAACTTCATGTTATCTGTATTTTTAAGCTATTCGTTTATAGTCGTATTTTGTAAATTATTCAGCCACATAGGCATATATTGTAGAAATTAAACGAGCCTGGGTCTGCGTTCAACCGTCGCACTATGCGTATTAAGAGCTGTTACGTGTAGATTTTTTATTGTTTATATTTATTGTGGCTTGAATAGTCTAGTTTTTGCTATATATAACAAGTGGTTCTAATAGAAGACCTTCCGCGTTAAATTATATTTCAATATTTGTATTATTTTATTACGGTTCGAATATTCGATCTTAGTCAATATTAATTGTTGGTACATTTGTATTACTTGTATAATATAGTTATTTGGAATTGATAACAGATGACAAGCAGTGCACTGACAAATATTGTAAGTAATCAGTAATCTTAACTTAACTAATATTATTCATTAAGTATTTATGATAAATATTATAATTTTTTTATCTTCCTAATCTTAGAAACCGTTTAGCCCGTTTAGGACCACCGGTGCTTATATTATGTTTACCGTTCATTCAATTTTTAAAAAGTTTCCTTACTGTATCGAACCATTTTGTCTGACTTTTGGACTTTTTCACGTCAACTTGTTTTCCGTGGTTTTTTTTATGAGTGAACACTTTACGCGCCAAACGCGTCCTGCCTATTCCAAACTCTTTCTAATTAAAATTTGCTATACGCTTGGCCTATAAAATAATACAATTGCCGTTGTTTTTCATTGTTTACGTATTCAAGTTTCTTTTTACATACTTTATTTAAAAATATCCTACAATTAAATAATAAGAATATTATATATTGCCTCGTTTGCTGCATAAATAATTATATTATTCCGATTGTCCGATTGTAAGTTTTAAATACGTGTTTCTTGTGATCAGTACATTTGTGGGAAAAACCGTTAAAATCGTGGTTTATTATATTATCATCTGCAATGATAAAATAGAAAAGGAAATATTAAAAGACGTAGCTGATAAACACACTAGATGGTGCTACGAATAACTGTTCTTCTTGTATATAATATGCACTATCTAAAATATTTTTTTTTCCAGATACCTGCTGCTCACCTTCAAGGTTTTATTTAATAATTGTATCTTTTAGAAAATAATAATAATATTATATACACTCGTTATATTATAGGAAGCTATAATATATAATATTAAACCGACCGATCTTCTTGTATTACCACTGTAACAGTCTGCGGCACTCAGGCAGTGTGCCGGCCGTTTACCTGTTGTAGTCCAACAGGTATAATATATATAGGTATAATATCTTTTAGTGACCGTCGTGGAATGTCGAATAACGAGTTTTGGATAGAACTTCTCAGGTCTTTTTTCATATTTTTTTCTCTAAACCCAATATTCCGGTTTCTTTATTATTTCTATGCACGTCCCCAACGATGATGACGACTACTACAGTACGTCGCGGTCGGCGCCGTTAACAAGCGATGTCCCTATCATTGTGTAATATAATAAGACCATTCGAGTTTTAAACCGAATTATACTCATTATATGATGAACACTTTTCCTGTCATAGTAGGTATATAGTATTAATTTTTATGCCAGTTATAATTTAAATATGACCAGTACTTAATATTTATCTGTACTCAACGATTAACCATCGCTAACAAAAAATAATTAAGAATAATAGAATAAGAATAAAAAATAATTAAAAATAAAGAAGGTAGTTGTTTTATTCCCAAAAATAAGGGTGACAAAAAATAACACAATTATAAAATTGTGGAGCAGCTTGTTTCTTAAATGTTCTAGAAAATAAATTCCGGAAAAAGTTAATACTTTCCGAGATAATGAGTGTACCCTTTTAAATAAATCGTCTGGGATATTATTACAATTAGTCGAACTAGTGTAATTTATAACTTTCGTTACATTATACACTCAACTTTATACAATTAATTAATTTCAATAAACGTCCATGGTTAAATCAATTTAATAAGTTTAATCCGATTCTGAGTCTGTTTTATGTTAATCGACCGTATTTAGCACACGATGGTTTAACTTATTTCTAAGAATAAATATAAACAGGTATAATGTGGAATGATGGAACTTTAAACTGAGTTAACATTTTAATATTTTTGACGAGTTTAACTTATTTTTTGTTTATTTTAATAAACAGAATCAATCGGAAGTTAATTATTTCCATTGAATTTAGTACTCAAATGCATATTATATATTACATAATGTAATATAGGTATAATAGGTAGACATTTTCTCGCGCACGTATGAATAGCAGAAAATACTCGATATGTTCCAATAGCGATGAAATTATTTAAAGCGTGTAGACAACGCGTTTAGCTACAAACAAAATAATATTATATTTAATTGGTCAACGGAAAACGATTGGGCATCACTGTCGTGATATTTTTAATTTTTTGCCGCCAATATACAGGTAAACGTACCAGATGAACGAACAATGTCACGAGTCACCGCCACTACAGATTGATATCAATTCTGGCGCAAAATGGCGGCATGGCACCACTGACTACCTGAGATTTCGATAATATCAGATTTTTAATAATTTATAATAAACATACATTTATCGTGGCGTTGTCACTATCTCCAGACCGATTTTCGATTAAAACCCCAGTCATGAATGGCTACGACGTGCGCCTCGCAAACAAAATTATTTTAACTGCCGAAACAGTAAAACGCTATTAATATTAAACATATTAATGTGACGTCATTGGAAATCGATCCTGTTATCAATTAATAAAGTCTATTCGTTTAGTCGTAGCTTCGTAGGTACTCGGTTTAATATTTTTCAAGCTTCTCGCGGATGCTGTTATGTTTTACTTTTGATTCTTTAAAATACTATTACGATTTTGTCGTTGTCGCGTTAATTTATGTTTCTTTAGTAACAATTAAACTCTGTTTATTCGTAAACCGAATTTGATATTATTATCGTTTACGGACCTATTCAATTGCCGGAGTTGTGCAATTAATATAAAAAGGAAAAAAAAATGGAGATCTCCGTCCGATATTTACTATTTTCTTTTTAACAGGTAAAATAAAATCAACTATTGACATCAACTATTTAGTATTATCTAAGTAATAATACTGAGAGATAAACTAAATTATTATTTCGTTCACACAGATTGGAAGGTACATAGTAATAATCGTTTTTTTTTTCACAGAATAATAGGTAGATTAGTACATCTACCAAAGTATAATCATGAACGATGAACTGCACAACATAGACTGGTATGCTAACATACCCGGCTCTTGTAGAAATATTGCATGTGATATGCCTGTCGAACACACTTACTACAATACAACAGAGAACTTATAACAGAAATCGCCAGAACAGATTCGACAACTATGTGTATGCGGACATTCCAAATACTCCTACACCGTCCTATACAAATAGTCCGCTATATTATGACTATGTCAATCCCATAGGTATGTTATTTAAAGCCAGTAATATATCTATATAGGTACCTAGTTATAAATAGTTATAGAGTTACAAGAATGAGTACTTCACTTTGTATCTTTCATTTTACTTTTCTGTTCATTGGCTACAACATTTTAATGTAACACATTCCATCAAAATTATCCTTATTCAAATATAAATAATAATAATAGAGTTATTAAAACAAAATTTACTTATACAAGTAGAATAAACAAATTAAGTATTTTAAAAAAACTAAATTACATGTTCATCTTACGATCAATTGTTGAAAGCCTAATTTTAAATTTACCTACATACTTAATACTTACATTGTATACAAAAAATAAATGAGCAATGTGCTGTTACTTATGTAGAAACACATTTTTTAAAATTGCCTGTTGATGGCTTAGTCAAAACTAGTAGTTTCCTTATTTATTATTTTGTTGTACTTTGGTATTGAATATTTAATAGTTCTATAATTTCATTATAATATATTAATCAAGTATAAAATTTATCATTATTATATGTTAAGATAAGTCAAAGTTAAATTAGTGGAATTCAATCTAGATTTATGAAGAATAATTTTATTTGGTAAATTTGTAGTTGTTTACTATAATTTGATTAGTAGGGAACTAGCTTTTATGTAAATTCATACTTTTATTTGAATAAAAGACAGTTAACATCTACATACATTTGTACAATTATATGATTCCTAAAAAACAACATATATTTTATTTTATATATTTTTAATTTTTAAATTTATTTGTGCATACCTAGGTACTTTTGTTTTAAACTTTTATTTTCACATATTCTTATTTTCAGTTGTACAAAGTTGTCAAATTAAATGTATAGAAAAAAAAACTTTTACATTGTACCATATTGGACAAAAATTACATGTATTCAAGCATACAATTAATCAAATATTTTAATGGTTTTATGTTCTCTATTGATTAGAATAAGTATAACTAGATATTACAAAACCATATTAAATATACTTCTTAAGGTTTTAAATTTATAATTTTTTTTAAATATTAAATTCTTACTTTTTAACTATGTTCAATAAACATCTGTGATCAGTATTTATTTTAAAATACCTAATATTTAATATTATCCACTTTCTTTATAGTTTTTTCAAGGTTGATTTAAACATTTCTAGTTTAATAATTGAATATATAGTGACGGATCAGGATTTATGTATTGATTATTATTAGTAGTATTAAAACAACATGTTTAGATTAAGTAATTAAAAATTTTCTTTATCATATCAATTATTTACCAAAGATTAACATTTATTTTTATTAGATAAGTATAACATTAAATAAATCATAATTATGATTCTTGGCCAAAATATTAACTGTATTGATATAACATAAATTACATTGTGTAAGTTTAAATTTGAAAGTCCACTTATGTATTGTTTATTGATTAAAACTGAATGTAGAACCATATTCTAAAATCAAATTCACATTTTCCTTCTAGGAGAACCTGTTTAGATCTTTCACATTAAAAATACTTTTTTTTTTAAATATTATTATTGTTATATTTTATTTTATGACTTGACATCTAAAGACATCCTGGGGATATCTGGATTTTGTATTTATATATTGTATCAGCTGACCCACTTTCTTGTATTGTGTCTGGATGTTGGGTCTGGTTTGATATAGAATAAATGGTACTTTCTTGTTATACAAAACTATGACTATGGCAACTACCACCCAAGACTACTTTTGTTATCATGACTACCATTTCTAGTGTTGCAATAAATAATGAATCATGTTAAAAAACAGTAGTCTCGTCTAACATTAAAGTACTAAATAAATTGTACATAATTTAGTAAAATCAAAACTTGGTAACATAAAGTGTACTCAAGTACCTACCTACTAGTATTTTAAGTAATACTATAAAGTACTTATATTAATAGTATGTAGGCTAATAAATCTATTGGATTTATCTACATCAGGCGCTAGTCAAAGAATTTAATTTTGAATGGATACATTAAATATATATTGGTACTATAAAAAATATATTTGTGTCATATTTCAATTTTTTTTTTTTTAGTGTAGACTATTAATATTTTAAAATGTATTAACTTTTATCTTATTTTAAATTTATTTTGTTTCCATAACTTATATTAATAACTATGGTTAAAGATTTACTAAAGATAACTTATATGGTTTAAGTATCAGCATAAATATCACACAATAATTATTAATTAAACCACCAATTGATCTACTGCTGGCACCACTTTACTATAAATCTTAAACAAGTCTAGAATCAATCATGTTTACATACATTTTATACTTACCATGAAATGTTTTATTATTAATAAATTATAATTTTAATTGTAGAAAAGTGTTAACTTAAAGAACAGATTTTCTTATTTACTATATTCGTCTGTTGGACATCCATCCTCTGGGTATTCCAGTATTTGTAAAAGCAGCAAGCTTTGAAACCCATGTAAGATTCTTTGGTAACACTGCCTCACGCTTACCAGCATATTTGGTAAGTGCCTGTATAATTTATCAAAGATTTCCTATAAGATAAAATTGTTCTATTTATTTTTGTATTACTTGTAGTCTCCAGGAATATACAAACCCACCCATCAACCAATTAATACTCCTAAATTACCAACTATGTTGTACTCCTCACACAGCTTTCCTCAAATTAGGACTACTTGTAAACAGAATGAAGAAGTCCATTCTTTGTCAGATATTTTGGAAGCATCTTTGAATACCACAAAGGAAATAAAGGAATTCAAACCTAAACTTTCAGATTGTAAGTGTACCAATCATACAAAACACTACTATTAGACATGAAAAGTTGTATTAAGTAGTAACTACTATAATTGGTTAATATTATTATTTATTTTTAGATAGATGTACTTTATGTGGTAAAATATCTCTGACAAAAGAACTAACTTACACAGACCAAGATACAGTGTATCACACAGACTATTTGATTTGCACTCATTGTGGGATATTATTGAGAGGAAAATTGTTATTCTTTATTAGTGACATGCCATACTGCGATAAAGATTATTTGGTAGGTTAATTAAAACCAAACTCAAAATATAATTTAATATTATATTAAAACTAATATGAATAGTTAATTCAATTTTTTTTTTTTGAAATTTATCTAAGCTGATATTCTATTTTATTAAATTAAACAAATAAAGTACCTAATGAAACTAATTAAAAAAAATTAAGAAATTAAAATATGTTTATACAAAATACTGGATACATTGAACTTGCTAATATTAGATAGATTATTTAATAAAATATTAAAAGTATGTGTTTATTTAGATGCTTTTTTTTTTTTTAGTTTTAAAGTATATTACAGTAAGAGTAACCTGTAATGTATATATGATGCATATTTTCAGCATATTTTAATTTAAAGCACTGTAAGTAAATTAAAAATTACTATTCTATTTACACAAGGTAAATAAGTCATTTTAACCTTGATATAAAAGTATTTAGCTCTGTTATGACTTATGAATTTAAAAAAAATATTTGTTAATTTGTTGGTTTCAAAATGTTAATTATGTTTATTAAAGTGGTTCTTATTTGGGTGATAGCAGCCTTTTTGTTTTGACACTTCCTAACTTAATTCTAAAAAAATAAATATTTAACCCTATTTGAGTTTCATAGGACATTTTTTAAGTCCCCTTGTAACCAAGTAAAGTTTCTTATTTAAAATACATGTTTTTTTTTTGTTTATTCAGAATTTTGTTTACATTAAAATGTATAAAATAATTAAAATGTGTTGGGCATTCCATGTCATTTTCTTACTGACAATTATTCATTTTTTCTTAATTTTCTAAAATGCTGGTAATATATCTAGAAAATTAATGATTTATATGATCTTTTAAAATCAATTGAATATTGAATATAAGTTATTCTAAATCAACTAATAAGTATTCATTAAAATAATACATATAAATGCATTGGCTATACTCACTTATTTGTATAGAACATCAATACACATGGATTATCTTGAGGACACTTCAGTCCATTTTATTAGTTGATAAACAGTAACTTATATTAGATGATCATACTATTTTCAAAGATATCATACACTAACAAAGTTACCGTAATGTTTATTTTATGTACTCAGGAAAGTTTACATAGTTATGCAATTTGTGATGTATCAATTTTGTTCAAAATCCTAAAAGCGACAGGACATGCATTCCATGCTAGTTGTTTCCACTGTGTAATTTGCTTACAAATTTTGAATGGTATACCTTTCACTGTGGACACAAAAAATCAAATTTATTGTATCAGTGATTATCTCAAGTGAGTAGTCTTAAAGAAAAATTAAAATAAAATAAACAACTAGATACTTATCTCTGTGGGATATGTATATTTGTATACAATAAAAATAAAATAAAATACAAGTTTTTTAAATATGGTTTGGTTCAAATTTGTGAATGATAAATTAATATAGTTTCCTTATATTATAATTAAAAACAAATTTTTATAAATTTATTGCAAATTATTTTTGGTGACATTTAAACAATTTTGAGCAAGAAACAAATTTGTTTTATACTTCACTGATGTCATGTCAAAAATGTATTGTTGCTATTTTTACATATTTAGGACTTGTAAAGTTATTTTGTTAATTTTTGGGTGCAGTTAATCCTGTTATTTGAAAATCAAAGTTAAATAGTAAAAAAGCTTTATAGGTCCTAAATACAAAAATTTAGCTATAAAACTATTTAACTTTGATTTTAAAGTAAGATTAATGCATCTGAAAAGAAAAAACAGTTATATTGGGTTGATATGATCTTATCAGAAAATTTCATAAGTTTCTATTAATAATTTTAGATTCTGAGTGGAGGGAAGAAGCTTATGGTTTTACAAAGATATTTTTTTTTCTGTGTACTGCCTTTTGGTAGTACCATAAATCTTGTCTAGATTTTTAAGTCGCACTTTTTCTGAAAGGAAATCTGACTGAGAAGGTACTTTAAAGAGATAATTTTCCGATTTTCTCAGGGGTTTTCCCATTAAATTGGATACTGGATGAAAAATAGGAAAATGTATATAATGTAGGTGTGTTAGTTGTTTAATATTACAGCCTTTATTTTTCTTTTCGACAATTTTTTATTAGCAATTTTGCTACGATTTACAATGATATCACTTTTTCTAAAAGAAAATCTGCCTGCAGTGATACTTTAAAGAGGTCATATTTTGATTTTCCCAAGAGTTATCACAAAAATTGGAAAACCGGCAAAATAGATACAATATTTAACTAATATTGTTGAAGTAATTATATAATGTCTATTAATGTCTATGTTATTATTTTACCATAATATGGCATATATATTGTGGACAATGTAACACTATCATAACTCATAATCGTTTTTCATTAGAAATGATTTATTGTTGATTTCAGATATAGATTAAATTTCTCTTCTACTACCTTCCCACTACTCACCTACAACAGTAGCTGCACCCATGTGGGAAGTTGGCTTTTTGTTATTTTAAAATTATATCAGTTACATTCTATTGCATGATTATCCTTTTTGATTTCAAAAAACTTAATTAGAACATTTTACTTAGCATATTTTTCAAATTGTAGTGTTATTTATAGTGCTTATTTTGGTGATTTTAAGTGCATATTAAAGTGATAAAAATTAACTATTTTAGTTCTATTACATATAAGCCCTTATACAGAGTGTAACATGACAGTTAAGTTTTTAACACCTATTTAAGACAAATGTAATACATTTTGGCACTATAAATTAAATATATTTTTGTTAAAGTTTAATTTTGAAGAATTTAATATTTTAAAAAAGTATCAAGGTAGCCATTTTATAAGTTTAAATTTTGGAAACATTTTGGTGTCCAAAAACTTTTACTGAGGCTGAGTCAATTATTTTTAAACAATTTAATGCATTTTGTGGAATGTGATATTTTTTTGAATACTTAAACTTTCAAATAGTCAATTTTATTTTTCCATAAAATATTGTACAATTTGATAATATTCTTATCATTTAAGTTGTGAGTCTGATAATTTCTTATTATTTATCCTTAGGCAACAAACATACTTCAGACTGGTGAGCATCAAGTTTGTTAATCAAAAATCAAATATGATTTAGTATAAATTTACCGCCCATATGGTAATTGGGAATGTTACTATGTTACCATTCAGTGACTCTTATCAGCATTCTTTATTCATAATCCATTTTAATATAACAATAGTTGATATACCTAGAACATTTTTCTGTATCTGGTTTTCAATTTTTAATTATTTTAAAAACTTAAATAATTTTAATCATCAATTATTGAACGTGAATATACATGATAATTGTGAGACTTTAATTTCTGAGGTTCACAAATGGTCCATTTTGTGAAAGAAAACCATGAAGAATCATAAAAACATCTCAATGATTAATTCTTTTATATTACTATATTTTCTTTCATTTGTATTAAAAAGAAATAAGTTTTTAATGTTATCGAGAGACATTTTTAAGTAGGGAAAATTGGTAAAAGTGATAACAAACTTATCACAGGATAGTAAACAAAATATAGTATAGTCACATTTTAGCTGAGCACTTATTGCTTTACCCCTCACTGCTCTAAAGAATGTTGGGCCTTAGTTAAATATAATTTATCATTAGTAAAATTAGCAAGAAATTAATTAGATTTTAAAAAACTTTAAAAATGTATAAAAATGTATGAGAGTGACCTAAATGATATATTTAAATATCAACAATCATTTTATATTTTAATTTATAAAATGGTTATCTTGGATTGTGAAAAAAATGAAAATTTTTTATTTTTAGTTATAAAATAATAAAATAAAATATAAGATTTACAAATTATAGTATAGAGCTCTAATAATTATTAAAAAAAAAAACTTAAAAATATTAAATAAAAAAGTTATTTAATTGTAAAAAAGCAGTATATATGTATACCAAAAGATTAAATTCAACCATTTCATCAATTTGTTATTGCTATTATTTATTGCAAAGTTATTATAATTACAAATTATGTTTTTAATTTTAATCATAGTTGAAAATATATTAATGTAAAAAAATATAAACATATTTATGTTTATTTTATAGAAAATTTGCACCACAGTGTGGTATATGCAAGTTGCCAATTGTTCCTAAGTCTGGTGAAGGGAAAATAATAAGATATGTTGCATTGAATCAAAGCTTTTACATTGGTTGTTACAGATGTGAAGTCAGTAAATATTTGAATAATTGTTATGAATAACATAAGTTATTATGCTAATGCAATTTGATATTAAATAAATTTACAAAACAATTTTGTTCTAGGATTGTGGCGGTTCCTTAGGAAAGAATTCTGAAGGAATAGCATGTTATCCATTATATAAACACTTGTGCAAAAGTTGCAATGCTATAAGAATTCAAATTTTAACCCCTATGATTACCTAAGACTAAGTCCATACTCCTTCGGAACCTGATAAAACATAAGGTAGGTTTAAAAAATCATTTAACAAACATCCAGTAAAATAATAATAATAATATGATTAATTTTTTATTTACAGATTCTTAAATTCAAACTAAATGAAGTTACACAACTTTTCCAAAATTAGTATTGAACTTGCAGTTCTCCCAGAACTTTTATTAAGCTATTAAAATGAAGAATTAATATATTATATTATAAATTAAAATTAATATATTTTTCTTCTACTTTAAGAATTAATAGTACAAATTAAGTTAAGTATAATTTTTTTAAAAAAGACAAATAGTCTTGGTAATCTGAATAAATATGCTATACTGATATAATTTTAACACATTAAAATTTACTTAATATTTTAACTGATTACTAAGTGTTTGTTTAATTTAATCATAGTTGTATATTAAATTGTATTAATGATTAGTATAATTAATGAAAATATATATAATTGTATACTGCAATACAACACATGATTGCTGATTTTATGTTTTTTAACAAAAAAAATAATTGGTTACATCAGATTACTGAGACTACTGATAAAAACATAGGTATTTAATCATATAAAAGAACTTGTTTTATATATTTAATATCTTAGCATTAAGTAAATGTATTTAATGGTTTAATTTATTCTATAGATAATGTGTGATTATTGTAAATATTTTAAAATGAAAAACTAGATATCACAGTAAGAATTCTCAATTTCAAATTATTATAAACAATATATATACAGTTATTTTTTGATATTATTCTACATAACTACAGGTGTAAAACAAACTTTTTAATTTTGTTTTTATTTTATAGTTTTAAGTTTAAAAAAAATATATATATTCCTCGCTACAGGAATCTAAAACATTTAGGTGCTTCATTTACTTAAAATTGTGATACTGATTAAGGTTTTCACTTAACTAATGTTTTTACATATACTGAATTAATTGACATAATTATTTTATATATTTTTTTATAATTTTGCCATTATTATCGAATAGTACATGGAATATCCAATGATAGCAATTATATAAATGCATAAACTTGATTAATAAAACTATAATAATCAGTGTCAACTAAAAGTTGACTAAAAGTTATTTTATGATTATAATTAATGATACCTATATTTAAATGATATTATATTTTAAAAAATATTAAAAATGTGTTCTGAATTTCTACGAGTCTTTTTAAAGGTTTTAATAGCATTTTTTTTTGTATTTAATAGTTTATAAATTAATTGTTCACATAATTTTTGTATGTATTATGGGTATTAAGGCAATGTTATTATTAAAGGTGTGTCTGCTACAGAACTTACAATTATCCACTATTGGCTTATAAATACTTATTGAGATTTTCACTGTAATATATTTATTAATATATATAGGTATAGAAATAAAGTAACACTAAAGATTTATTTTAGTTTGTATAATTAATTTTAAATTGTTTTATTTTTATTATTATTACCCTGATTATTATTATTCAATAACATATTAATTGTTTAGAATAAAAATTAATATTGTCACCATACAATTTATTTATTTATCATTGTATAATAATAAATAGGCACTACACTTTATTTGTTTGCATTGATTTATTAATGCAATAATTGATACTAAAATTGTGTCAACATTATTTTGATCATAATTATATTTAAGTTTATTAAAATAGTTTCAAATAAAATGTATGTAATTTTTAATAGTTTATTTATTTTTTTCTAACTTTTTTATCAGAAATTTTGCTCTGGTTTTCAAGTACAGCATTTTCTGAAAGGAAATTTAACTGAGGTAGTAACCAGGAAACCAGTTGAAAATGGAAAAGTGTACATAGCATATTATTTTAAAATCATCAGTATTACGCCCTTTCAAAACATGTAACTAAACTCCGTTCAGAATTGTTTTCTATTTGTAATGGTATATCATTGTGTATAGGCTTATATAAGATTTCTCTACCTTTTTAACTTCTTACCTAATATAGTGGCCTATCTATCGTGGGAAGTATGTCCATTTGTTTTTAGGATTTGATTTTGATAAAATTATTATTTACACATTTGAGTAATAATGGCACTATAGACAACTACATAATATTAACTAAACTTTTTCCTGTACTTGGATATGGGTAAAAATTGTCCAAAACTTATTTATTGGCTGTTACATGTTTGTTTCTAGTTCTGTAACTAATAAGTGGATCTTCAATTATCATTTTTTTCACTAGATTCATCACCCTAGAATCCTTAGTCATCATCTATAAACTTTTTGATACACCTAATGTTATATTTGAAATTCATCTATGCTTCAAATTGGAAAAACTAATTACTTATTCACTATACTGATTTTGTGGGGTAAACATTTACATAACATTGTTGGCTTGGGAGGAGGGCAGGCTTATTGATTCTTAAAATAAGTTCTGATAATACTCAAAATAAGTTTCTGAATGAAGAACAGCTATATAAAATACTATGCTGGTGTGTTATCTTCATAGTTGGGAGATTAAAGGTTAAACAATGTTATTGCAATTTTGTATTATATGCATATTTTTGAAATTTACTGACTATAAATAAATGTTACATATTCTACAATAGAATATGTACAGTATGATTTGCATACAAATCTAAGCCCTATTTATTATATTGCAATATATGAAGTTATAAAAAACTGCAACTGCTCAATGTACCTAAAATAAGTACATACTCTTATTATTCTTCCCTACTCCTCCGGTCTAAACTTTAAACTGTTATAACTCATAAATGGTAAATCTGATATTAGTGGTATGTATATCTAAATTACTAGAACAATATTTTCTATTTAAATCTGTGTTCAAAAGGGGGGTTCCTAATTTTTAGAAAATAGGTGTAATAATAATATGCAAGTAGGAAGATATATAAGAATCAATAGGTATAATAATATAACATATGTCATTCCCAGCTTCCAATCTACAATAGGGCGTACTCATAGTGCAAAATTAATTAAAATTTATTAATACCTAATATATCTTTGTCAAATATGTGAACATGTAGGCATGGTTACAGATATAGTTAAGCACTATTAAGATATTCAGGTATTATCTGGATATTATTATTTAGATTTTAACTATAGCTAGGAATGGGGTTTCACTATAGGTAACGTAGACTTTTTCTTTATTTTCTGTCTATTAACAACATTCCACAAGGAATCTTGTTCCGAAAATTAACTTTAGGTAGTTTCTGGTATCAAATTTTATCTAATTGGTACATTCAGGAAAACAATTTTTTAGTATCCCATTAGTTTTATTACATTCTAATATTTATGAATTAATGGTTTCTGTTATTTTTGATTTGTTTTAATTCAGTGAAAATAATTTAAAAATTCGAAATTTTCACCAAAAATTATATTAGCACTTTCTAGACATGGTATGATTTTCAAAAAATTGTAGTATTTTGAGTTATTATTATATTATTTTTAGTTGTTCGAAATTGTACTATTTTAATTGTTTTATAAGGAATGAAATGTTGTTATTTATTTTTATGATTTGTATCATAGTTTTTAAGTTAAAATTAATATTAAAATTCTTTAAAAACACTAACAATTGTAATTTATTTTGCAGGTAAAAACTAATACAGTTTAAATTTAAGTTTATGAAAACATATTTAACCAAATTTTCCTCTAAATGTTTTATTTTTTTTTTTATCTAGATAACAGTATGTTAGAAATATCGACGACCGAACCGTGAACCAATGAGAAACGTCGACGGGTGGTCTTTATAGGTCACTCATCCTGTATACCCACACACATACAATCGATACAGCAAAGCATTATTAGTGTTGGACGTACCTCTCAAGCAATCGTACATCTGTTGCTCTAATAAAACGAATAACAATTTTAAATTTTTTGTGAATTCACTAATAATTAGCTTTTTCGATCATGTATCAACTTGGAACCAATAATATAAAAAACTCTAACAGTTCGAATGCGGGAAACGTGTGCCGGCCTCCAACTAGTAGTAGCCAAATTTATAATCCTTCGACTTCAGGCACCGTATACCAGCATCCAACTAGTAGTGGCCAAAATTATGTACCATCGACTTCGGTCATCGTACACGGACCTCCGACTAGTAGTGGCCAAAGTTATAATCCTTTGAATTCAGGCGCCGTATATCAGCATCCGACTAACAGTGGCCAAAATTATCTACCATCGACTTCGGTCATCGTACATGGACGTCCGACTAGTAGTGGCCAAAGTTACAATCCTTCGACTTCGGGCATCGTATACGAGCCTCCTATTAGCAGTGGTCAAAATTATGTGCCATCGACTTCGGTTATCGTACATGGACCTTCGACTAGTAGTGGCCAATATTATGAACAATGGACTTCGGGAATCGTACACGGACCTTCAAGTAATAGTGGTCAAAGTTATAATCCTTCGACATCAGGCATTCTATACCGACATTCGACTAGTAGTGGTCAAAGTTACTATAGACCTCCGACTTCGGGCATTGTGTACCAACACGAGCGCAGTGGGATAAGTAGCCAAAGTTCTAATGTTTCCCGATACATGTCCAACAATAACCCGAGAAAACGCCCACAGAGTCTGGAATTTGACATTCCTAAGGTAAGTGATTCAGTTTAATCGATTCAATGACAAATCTATGAAAATCGCCTATAATATTAAAGTATACCTTTGCTTTCTTCCTCAAATCGTAATTAATCCCTGTACAATTTATAATTATAAACATAGACATAACTATAAATAAGTATATATTATGATATTTTAGGTAAAATGGTCATAAATATATTAATCATAATTTGGTCAGCATCGGTAAGCTCCCATTTTTATAATCGATTGTTTTTACACATAATAATATTACCTACAAATTTATCTACAAATATTTCAGTTCTTGGTGTCATAAAATTTTGTTTCCTGTCATTTTACAAAACCGATTATTTATTTCTATTTAATAAAATATAATATTAATACATTTGTAGTTATTTCTATTCTGAATGACCTATTTTCTTCAT